ATTTATCCTATCAGATTCACTGAAAAGTTATATTATTTAAAATCCTATGTTCCTGGGGAAAACTGAAACTTTCCCACACATGTGGTTCATAACTGGTAACTCCAGATATGAAAATACATAATTATAAAAGTTGCAGATCTATGATATATATTTTGTGAATTTTATCACTTGTTTATGTGACACAGTACACTCAGTGTTTTCTAAGAAAATGCAAACCTCTTAATATACTTCTATATAAAACAGATAGCTAAATAGTCACAGCAATGTATCAGGTGATTTAATTTTTAAAATTGGCAAACTTAAATCTACTTGGTTTACATTTTATTAAAATTAATGTTAGTTGAGGAGAGGGGGAGAGGGAGGGAGGGGAAGCATATGCTCATCTACTAGTTCACTCCCTAAATGTCCCTAAGAGTAGGAGCTGGGCCCGCGCTCAAGCTGGAAATGCAATCCAGCTCTCTATGCATAACTGGAACCCAGTGACTTCAGTTATCATTAATGCCTCTCAGGGTCTTGCATTAGAAGGAAGCTGGAGTCAGAAGCCAGGGTCAGGAATCAAACCCAGGTACTCTGCTGTGGGATGCAGACATCTTAACCCCCCGGGCCAAATGCCTGTACTCTTCTTGATTTTTAAAAGCATTTGGGTCAGTATTTATTAAGTAATACATAAGAACTCATATTCCAAATTCCTATGGCAGGATTACACAATACTAAAATGATCTGAGTATCAATTTTAAAATGTATTTATTTATTAATGGGAGGTGGGTGTAGGAGAGAAGAGGAAGAGGAAGAGGAAGAGTGGGAGGTGGAGGTGGAGCAGGAGGAGGAGGGAGAAGGAGGAGAAAACACATTCCCATTTAGCTGGTTCACTTCCAACACGCCCATGATGGCTTGGTCTGAGTTAGGCCAAAGCTGGCAACTAGGAACTCAATCCAGGTCTCCTGGGTGGCAGGGATCCAATTACTTGAGTCATCACCTGCTGCCTCCCAGGGTGTGCATCAGCAGGAAAACTAGGGGCGGGTGGTGGTGGTGGTGAAGACCTGGGACTCAAACTCAGGTACTCCAGTGTGGGATGCAAGTGCTAGAACTGTTGTTAACCACTACACCAAATGCTCACCTTGAGGATTAACTGATAGCAGCAGTGGGGAACCTTGTTTCTGCCAAGGGCTATTTGGATAACATCATTCACAGACCATACAAATTTATCAATTTAAAAATTAGCCTGCTATATATTTATTGAATTTCAAGTCCCACCTGTAGCTATCTTGACAGAGCCAGACCAAATGATTTCGTGAGTCTTATAAGGCCCACAGGTCAAATGTTTCCTACCCCTGATTTACAGCATGTTTGCTCAGTAGGAAAACCTTGATTAAATACTTGTTTGTTGAGGTGGATATAATGCTATAATACCTCTGAGACTGTACTTCAGTGATAAGACAGTTTTCCATTATCTTTTGTGGGATGATTCTGTTACGAAAAATCCAAGGATGCTGAAGTACCTTACATAAAATGACTTCATATTTGTAAGTAATCTATCCCACAGCACTTTCTCCCATATACTTTAATTCATCTTAGATATTATATTGTAATTAATAACATCTAATACATTATTTATAATATCTATAATTAGATTACTTATAATATCTAATGATTATAAGTACTATGTAAATATAGTTATACTGTATTGTTTAGGGGGAAATAAGAAAAATAGTCTGTACATGTTCCTGACACAATTTTTTGTTATTGTTATTGTGAATCCACAGTTTATTGAACACATGAATGCAGAACACAGATATGGAATGCTGAATGTATTTGCATATTTACATGTATGTACTGTTGTTTGGTAAAATGTAAGCACCTAATGTTCAGTCAATAATAGCTGTTGACATGAATATGGGGTACATAGAATTCAAAAGACAGGTCCAGACTAGAGAGAGAAACTCAGCAATCACTGGCACATACAGTACTTAAAGTGAAGGGGCTAGATGAAATCACTACAGCAGAGAAGGCCAAACAGTTTGGGGTTCTGCAACGCTGAGAGCTGGGAGAGATAAGCAAGAACCTGCAACAGTAACACAGGAGGAAACAACTGATTCTGCCTGCTGAACTTAAAGAGAGAAAAGGGAGTGATCCTGAAGCTTTCACAAAGGAGATGGCTTTGGAATAGGTGATTTTAAAACATCAATAAAGATTGTTCAAGAAGGTAGAGCCAGAAACAAGTATGCTAGCCAACCTCTCTGTACCTTGGCTTCCTCATCTGTAAAACAGAAACAATACATATAAAATCATCAAACATGGTACCTGGCAACAGTAAATGCTGAGAGGTAGTTGAGACACCTGTTTGGACACTCGCATCCTGTGTCATGGTGCCTGGGTCCGAGACCTGGCTCTACTACTAATTCCAGCCTCCTGCTAACGCACACCCTGAGCAGTAGCAGGCGATGGCTCAAGTTGTTGGGTCCCTGCCACGCTCGAGGAAGACCTGGATTGAGTTCCAGCCTCCTGGCTTTAGCCTGGCTCAGAAGCAGCCACTGTGGCTGTGAACCAGCAGTTCTCAATTAATACTAAATGCTCAACATACATCAGTTATGCTCTCATTTACTCAAATTGATTGCAAATTCCTTTGTTATCAATTTATCTCATTTCTAGAATACATCATGTGACTTATTTGCCAAAACATTTTTTTTTTTTTTTGACAGGCAGAATTAGACAGTGAGAGAGAGAGAGACAGAGAGAAAGGTCTTCCTTCCGTTGGTTCACCCCACAAACGGCTGCTACGGCCGGCGCACTGCCGATCCGAAGCTGGGAGCCAGGTGCCTCCTCCTGGACTCCCATGCGGGTGCAGGGCCCAAGCACTTGGGCCATCCTCCACTGCACTCCCTGGCCACAGCAGAGAGCTGGCCTGGAAGAGGAGCAACCAGGACAGAATCCGGCGCCCCAACTGGGACTAGAACCCGGTGTGCCGGTGCCACAGGCAGAGGATTAGCCAAGTGAGCCGCGGCGCCGGCCCAAAACATTCTAAATAGGCAAACAAATGTTTACTTCTGACACCATAACACATACAGAGATTTCTCTTCTGAAAATGAGAAGTCAGTTATAGTACTCATTTGATAAGTAACTGATCTAGCATGACCTAAATCTTGCTGAAGTTTATTTTTGTAGAAATGCAATCTTTAGTATTAGATTCTAATATTTCACAGAATTTCTGTACATAAAAATGCAATGCTATACAAAAGCTTCAAAAATTCTCTTATATTGGTAGTCTCACTGACACATTGTTTCTTTAATATGTAATATGAGTTTATTTAGTTTTATTAAGCTATCAGGATCATAATGATAAGTGGATCTCTATTTGTTTACATAGAGAAAACAATTAACAGCTATTTCTCAAGTCTTATCTGGACAATCCTACATTTAGGTTATGCTTGACCTCATCAGATAGGTCCTACTAAAATTATATGCTGGGAAAAGCATGTAACACAATTCATTACTTAAGTCAATCAGTTTTTCTTTTAAATGACAAAGGAATGAAGTGCAAGCCAAATCCCTCTGTAGGTCCTATTAATGATCTCAAGAGGCACACTTTCCAAGTATGCACATTCTTTTAAAAATACTTATGTATTTTCATCTACTTGAACACGAACACACACACGTGTATCTTTCATCTGCTGGTTTATTCCCCAAATGCTTCCAACAGCTAGGCTAAAGCCAGGAGCCTGAACTCCATCCCTGTCTCCCTGCAGGTGCAAAGGGTCCCAGCACTCAGCTATGTACTCCTGCCTCCCAGGATGCTTGTTAACAGGAAGCTGAGTCAGAAATGGAGCAGCTGAAACTCCAACTAGCCGGGAGAGCATTCTTGATGGCTGGTTTCTATAAGCGCCTCAGAGCGTGACAATTTTCAAGACAATTAGCTAACAGGTGCAAAACATTAGCTTGTAGCTAACCGGTGTATGCTAAGTTACCATCAAAACTTTACAAGTAACAAAACTAAAAATATCTAAGATTAAGAGAAAATCAAAACGCAGGAGTAGATAGTCTTTTCCTTACCACACCTCACTGCATAAATGGAAGTTATATAAACATGCAGTATTGAAGAGATAACCAGTAATACATTGTTTTAAAACACTAACCTGTCAAACAACTACAGTGGGAGAACTATGCATTTGCTTTCCCATTCTTCGACCTCTCCGCAAGCTGAAGGAAATCTTTATCCCCAGGAAGTTTTCCTCAGGTATTCCCAAAAGACTGGCCCACAGGAGAGAAGTCACACAAAGTAAGCCGCTCTTAAAGGAATACCCGAACTCTTTCATTGCGCTGGAAGTGCCACTGGAGCGCCTTCAATAGTAAGACTGAGGAATGAACCACGCACACAAACCCAGACACTTCAAAGCTGGCAACACAGCAAAGAAAACATCAGTTGCTAGATCTTGTCTAGCCTCTCGAAGTCCAGAAGGAAGGTGGCAAGCGCAGCACTGTGACAAGAGCAACGGCTCCAGTCCTGAAGCCCCGTCCCCTGCTGCACAGGTGAAGCACTGGGTGCTCCGGCTAATGCCAGCTTTCCCCAAAACTCGAAGGGGAGGAGCTCTGAATGCTCTGGTTTGCTGGTTTAAACTCCTAGTGATCAGTCTCTGCAGCACGCGCCACAACCGAATAAGGGTACATGCACAAGACGACCCCGCGCACGCATGAAACTGCGGGGAGAACGGAATCAGTACCTGTCTGCCGCTCCCGAATACTGGACGCTGACGCCGCCGCCATCTTGCCTCCCACCATCCACCGCCCGGCTGGCAAGCGGATCCCGATGACGTGGCCACCCCTAACGCCCCGGAAGCAGAGCCCGGAGGGGCGGGACGAAAGGCGGTGCTGCCGGCGGGACCCCGCCTCCTCCGGGCCACGCTCCCACGCCTCCACTCTGTGCTTAAACTTGGCATTTCCAGCGTTGATTAGCGCTTGAATTCACTGGTTTTACTCTCCAGCTGCAGAATAGTAGGAATTTCTAACCTAACCAAGCCATATGCTCTCAAATGATATCTACTCTAAACTGAGCTCAGGGTAGGAGCGTGGTGTAGTGCTTAAATACTCGAGTCAGCCTCGTCCTTTGAAGAGGTTTTACCTTGTGGTAACAATCTAGCGTATAGGTATGGGCGTGATGATCGCAGGATGGACTAAAGTAAAAGAAGCTTCCGAAACAAAGTAGACCTAAACGTTAGCTTTCTCGTTTCCGGGTGTAGCAGCAGCAATCTTCCCTTCCCTTTTTCAGCAAGTTTTGGAGCCTGGCTCCAATTTGGCAGTTTTCTCAGTCTCTTCTCTTAGATAAAATGGCCTACCAGTGTGGTGGAGATTTGCCTCCATAGGCACAGGAGCCGGGAAGAGACAGAACAAACAAACAAAACCACAGCAAACTCTCATCTTTGCTTTCAGTAATTGCAAACTCACAAAACATTACCTTGAGGTGGAGGGTGGGATACGAATTGTGGCACAAGCTTTTGAATGCACACTTGAAGCCATGTGATCACAAAATGTATTCAATATGGATTGCTATGACCCCTAGATTTTATTGGGTGTCAAAAACGGATGCACTGACATTTCCCATGTTCAGTAGAATTCATTGATGACATAGCATCAGCTGTCGAACGTTAATTCTGAAGTTGCATCAAATTCCAAAATCACTATGCCTCAAAAATTTAACTTTCAAAATTATATTATCCTAACAGAAAAAAACGTTATTTATACTCTGTGATGAAACACTAAACATCTGCTTCACAAATAAGTTACTTATTTATATGACATTTAAAACAAGTTATCCTACTTTTAAGTTAGTATTGAATCTACATTATCTGATTATTTCCAATTGGCATAGTCATTAACAAATTAACTAAGATATGTATCAGTTTTAGTGTTAATACTATTTAAAAGACATTGTGAATCATCTAGGTGTGTTTTAATTCAACAGAAATGTGAGTTCCTGCCTATGGAAAAGTTCTGTTTTCTTCTGTGGACTCCATGGAATGTAAAATATACAGCCTTTCCTCCTTCCAACATCTGAGAGGTCAGTCTTTAATTTGGCATATTCAAATGCCTGTCTTCTATCTAACCACATTGGTTCCATCACAGACTCCATCTCAAGGCCACTGGAGTCATATTAATATAAAATACGACAGTGTTACCATTTATGTACAATATATACACATATGAAATAAACACTATCCCAACCAACGAGCTTAGACAATAAATTTTTAGGAAACCACAACCTACAGAATAGTAACAGTAGAAAAAAATAGTCTTTGCAAGGCTTAGATTGAGTATGCTATTTGTTTTGTATTTACTAGAATCAGTAACTTAAAAAAACCTATGGCTTCTGAGTCAGGCAACTATCTGACTCCAGACTTTTGGCTTACATAATTTATACTGACAAACTATTTGACATTAGAGGACTGTGTTAATCAGACAACTCAGAACAGCTCATTTCTACAGAAGTTCCCAGGTGTCAGCCAACTCTACTTATAGGGTATCTCAAACCTGGAGCGTAAAGGATCTTGTGTATCCTATGCAGTTTTTGTTAGAAGTAACCTCATTAATTTACTTTATTTTTTTTATTTTTATTTTTTTATTATTTTTTGACAGGCAGAGTGGACAGTGAGAGAGAGAGACAGAGAGAAAGGTCTTCCTTTGCCGTTGGTTCACCCTCCAATGGCCGCCGCAGTGCACCGCGCTGATCCGATGGCAGGAGCCAGGAGCCAGGTGCTTTTCCTGGTCTCCCATGGGGTGCAGGGCCCAAGCACCTGGGCCATCCTCCACTGCACTCCCTGGCCACAGCAGAGAGCTGGCCTGGAAGAGGGGCAACCGGGACAGAATCCGGCGCCCCAACCGGGACTAGAACCCGGTGTGCTGGCGCCGCTAGGCGGAGGATTAGCCTAGTGAGCCGCGGCACCAGCCATTAATTTACTTTATATAAGCATTCACATTTAGTGGCATAGACACTTCAACGTAATTCAAACTTTCTTAAACTACAAATTCATCATTAAAATAAAATGCATTCTTATTTTCTGTAACACATTACTGGAAGCATAAATAAAGTTTAATAGCTTATTGTAAAAGTAACAATGATGTACATGATAACAGTATATAAAAGAATCATGTGTATAATATAATGTATATACTATAAACTAGTTCTGATCATTTTTTTATACTGACTGAATGCCAAAGCAAAGTCATTGAGAAAACTTACCTATTGTACTCCGCTTTATTTAGTATTTACCATAGAGTACACAAGTTCCAATAGCTTTCTTATAATTAGGGAAAAAAACTTACAGATGAATAAATAGAAACCCAAGTAAATTCTCATGCTGGTAAACAAATGAAGAGTTTTTACTTAACCCAGACCACAAAAACCTCCTTCTTCACAATATAGAAACTATTACAAAGTATAAAATCATAAACTTGTTTGATATTTTTAAAGAATATTTACCTTAAATACCAAAACAGTTAAATGCCCAAGAATACTAGAGAGTTGTATGAAAGGCCTTAAGATCAAAGTTCCTATACTACAAATCTGAAAAACTGTTTTTGATGAACTAAAACTAACCAAAACCAAAACCATGAACAGCAGAGGCATTTCAGGTCAATTACAGTGTTCCTCAATATTGAAAGCAACAGAAAACTAGCTTAAAATACATGGCATTTAGTAAGAAATACATATAAAGGTTTAATAATATAACTCCTTTATAAATTCAATGTCAGTAAGAATCATGCTGTAAGATGAATAGAAAAAGAACAATTATAATACCAATCATTTGACATAGTAACACTGCAGGAAATAAATAACCTCTAAGTTTTTCTGATAAGCTTTGACTACACAGATTAATATACAAATCTACTGATGGAACATCCTTCAAACCAGAAAACATTTCACAATGATTATGTAGGTTTCATTTTAAAAGACAAATATCCTAAGTTATTATTCCTACTTTCTTACCACTAAGGTCCTGACTACACAGAAAACAAATGAAATGAGGAACTGAAATGATGTTTTTAACTGTAGCTAGCATCCAAGCACACTACCATTACCCGCCCCCCCCGCCCAGTGCCCTAGCCCAACAAAATATGTGTGTTAAAATAGCTATTTTAGGGGAAACTAAAACTACAAAACAGAAAATAGCCTTGAGTATGATTTTTTGGATTGGTTTAATAGCTATTATAAAAATTAGATAGCTTAAAAAATTAGACATCCAATTTATCCACACATTTGGCATAAAAGCTCTATGGTGAGTCTGAGGTTTAAATATTCAAACTCATTTTTGACAATCGAGCCTTTAATTAGTTCTAATAATCCAACAGAATTGAACTCTAGTATAAAGAAAATGCCTTGTTTAATGTTCCAAAATACTTCAAACTGTAAGGTAAAACATTGATTTTCTAGATCTGTTGTAAGGATCACTTGAAACAAACATGAGGTAACAAAGAAAGTCATATTAGGAAAATGTTTCAGTTTTCCTTTTGTAACTGAAAATGTGTTACCTACAATAAAATACATCCTGTTATTTCCATTAAAAATACTAATATTCAGGATATTCCTTCAGGAATGATAACATTAGTGTGCTAATATCTGCTCTGTATATCAAGAAAAATGTGGCTAAAAGTTTTAAGTCCAATAATGATTTACCTATCAAAATGTTTTACTTCAGTGGAAAACCTAAGGCTTTGTCTCATGTATAATTTATTTGGTAACAGACTGTGGAAATCAGGTTTTTGTCCATGTTTTTCTTTTGCAGGAGTACAAACAAGGGGATGTGGCTATGGGACTACTAGTAAATTCTTATTACATTACTACTTATAGTACCATTAATAGTTAAAAAATAAAGGAAACAAAGATTTTATAGAAGAATACACAGAAAAAGTACTTATCTCTTCATGGTGGGATTAGAGTGGGTTTTTCACTCTATTTGTATTTTTTATTTATCATTGCTTATATAATAAGGTACATTTCAAGAGCAAAGAAGATAACTGCATAATGCTATGGTACCAGCTTATCTATGATACAACCATCTTTATAATAAATAACTGACAAATAGCCAAACCTACCACATGGCAGTCCACAGAATTCAAATACCTAAAACGATCAAGAATCTGACATATGATACAGAAAAAAAATTCTGATTAAAGCCAAGGCTTTAAAGATAATATACTTTCTTATGTATTTTCAACTACATTTTATCTATCCCACAAGTGTTTTTAAGTGTAAGGAATGTTCATAGATTTCAGAATATTTGTGCAAGTTTGCTTTTTATAAAATATTTCCTAGCAAACATAATCTAATGTGTGGGATATGTTAACATAAATCAGCAATCTAAAATTTTTTTAACAATTTAGTGCCAACCTAGAAAAGCATACATATAATGCACACCTCAGAATATAAGCCTCTGATTTATAAAATAGGATTTAACCAATTAGCTTTTCTATTTAATGCTTTAAAATAAGACTTTGAAAATTGCATAAAACTAGAATTGTGGCATCCTACAGGTATATTTAATACCTTGATAAAAATAGTAAGTTTTTTCTTATATATACCATGCTACTATACCTGAATAAAGTTTGTATAATCATTTTAAAAGTATGTATATTGAGGTTTATGAAGCATGTATATTAATAGAAAAATATCACAAATTTACACTAGTATGCCTTAACATTTTTTCTTTGCTTAAATGGCCAAAGCATTCCTTTATGTTCATATTATGAATTTTATTGGGCCAAGAAGCTGACAAATTTGTTCAAAAGTAATGAGATTAATAGATTTCTGAAAGAAGAGTTATCAATAGCAGCTTTTAAAGAAACATTTGTTTGTTTAAACAAACATGTTAATGTCCAATGTAGTGAGAACTTTCTTCCTTTTCTAGTCTTAGAGTATTTCTTATGGCGAAGTCCATATTTTCTTGAAATTCTTTATATGTATTGGTGATTGGAAGAGCCAAGCAGTTATTACACTTGTTTCCAATGGGAAAATCCACAGGAAGGCACTCAATTGAAGGAGCTGGTTTAAATCCAGCAGGTGGAATTGAACTGCAACCAGTTGCAAAAAGAAGAATGTCTTCCAATGTTGTTGTAGATTTGCCATCTGAAAAGTTTACCAATAAAAGATAAAAAAAGAACAATAAATAAATTGATGTTAAATATTGCTACCATCATAAATTCTTCTCAAACTAGACTGGGACTATAGTAAGACATAAACACCCAAATTCATCTTGGGCAAAAATCACTAAGTCAAGTGTGCTAATAGGCAGCAGCATATTCCATAAATAAATCACAAAGTAGAAGGACTTATAAAATCATTTAGTTCAGCTATTCATTGTATTTTGACCATTTATAAATCATCACTATTTAATGAAAGAGTTCGATAAATGTAGAATAAGAAACTAAATGATAAAAAAAACAAAAATCTAGCTAAACAGAATTTCAGCTCAAGGCTAAAATTTCTCCATTCCATTAAATGGAAACGATTTTCTATTGCTAGTGCAGAGTGATAGATATCATTGTTATAGACCTAAGTGGAGATGAAGAATAATTCAATGTAACCTCACTGAAAAAGATGAAATAGATGAACAGCTTTAAGACTGTTCTAAGCTCTTAAGTGTTCTAGGAAGAACAGCTTTCATGTCAAATTATCTAGATGAAAACAAACTGCAAAGTATGACTTTATTATTATATAACATTTTCTCACTACTTCTAAGTCATATAAACTTGTATTAAAATGGGTTTCTTTTATAAATATGAAGCTAGCAATTGAATGCCTTATTATCAAAAGGCAAAATTAAAATAAATAAATGTGCTAAAAGAACACTCTCAGGTAGTAAAATAAAAATACCTACATACCCTCAACAGTTTCTAAGTAACTGTTCCAAAATCCCAAAGCTTGTACACCAGGTATTGTGTGTACTGTAAAAAGATCACTAAGGATTTTTGCAGAAAGATTCTCAGGTTTCTTACAGAGGATGTTACAAAATGCTTCTGGGTAAGCCTGGATTTTCTCCAAAACACCAAGAGTTTTGAGACCCTGCTTAAAACTTAAAAGAGAGGGGTTATAATGAGAAAACATTCATATACTATATTTGGCATTACATTAGGGAATTACAATTTCCAGTTAATTTGTCTGTATTTCGAATCAGGTATTGCTAACACACAAAACCTGGCTCCTGGCTTCGGATCAGCGCAGCACCAGCCGTAGCGGCCACTTGGGGGGTGAACCAATGGAAGGAAGACCTTTCTCTCTGTCTCTCTCTTTCACTGTCTAACTCTACCTGTCAAATAAAAAAAAAAAGAAAATAGGCCAGTGCCACAGCTCACTAGGCTAATCCTCCGCCTGCGGCACCAGCACCCCAGGTTCTAGTTGCTCCTCTTCCATGCCAGCTCTCTGCTGTGGCCTGAAAAGGCAGGAGGATGGCCCAAGTGCTTGGGCCCTGCACCTGCATGGGAGACCAGGAGGAAGCACCTGGCTCCTGGCTTCGGATTGGTGCAGCATGCCGGCCGTAGTGGCCATTTAGGGGGTGAACCAACAGAAAAGGAAGACCTTTCTCTCTCTCTCTCTCTAACTCTGCCTGTAAAAAAAAAAAAAAAAAAAAAAAGGTATATAGCTAAATCTAAAAGTCATCTTTAATCTTCTCTTTCCCATTCCTAATTACCAACTCCCACAAATTTCCTTTTCTGGAAACATTTTATTTGCTTGTTTCAATATATTCCCCTACATCACTCTAATGCAAACCATCTGAAAAGAAACTATGTAACAGTTATGTCACTATTCTGGTTCATTTCTATCCTTCAGCCATAGAGATGTGCCAGATAAATAACCCAATACTGACTTTCATCTTGAGCTTAGTTGATTGGTGGTCCCCACATCCCCTTCCTTAAGAGCCCATCAGCATGCCTTATTTGGAGAAGGCAGCTTTGCAGATATAACTTTTACTAAGGATTCTGAGATGAGATCATCATGCCAGGATTATTTGAGATGATCCTAAATTTGATAAAGATCTTTTACTGTAAGACACACACAGAAAAGCGAAACACACACAGAGGAAAAGGAGAAACTGGAGTTACGTAACCACCAGGAGGTGGTGAAGACATAGAATGAATTCTACCCTTAATGAAAAGATTTACTTTTAAGATGAAATCAAAATTAAATAGGCCGGCGCCGTGGCTCAATAGGCTAATCCTCCGCCTTGCGGCGCCGGCACACCGGGTTCTAGTCCCGGTCGAGGCGCTGGATTCTGTCCTGGTTGCCCCTCTTCCAGGCCAGCTCTCTGCTGTGGCCAGGGAGTGCAGTGGAGGATGGCCCAAGTACTTGGGCCCTGCACCCCATGGGAGACCAGGAGAAGTACCTGGCTCCTGCCATCAGTTCAGTGCGGTGCGCTGGCTGCAGCGCGCTAGCCGCGGTGACCATTGGAGGGTGAACCAACGGCAAAGGAAGACCTTTCTTTCTGTCTCTCTCTCTCTCACTGTCCACTCTGCCTGTCAAAAAAAAATAAAAGAAAATAAAATAAAAGAAAAAGAAAAAAAATTAACACAAACAGGTTCCTTAGGCAATATGAAAGGTCACATCAAAACAACACAGGAGGCTTATGCTAGCCAGATACAACAATGTAAGCTTTCATCAAGGAAAATTACTGTAAGCTTTTTTTTCCGATTAATTTTTCCAAAAGTTAGAGTGAGAGTGAGAGTGAGAGAGAGGATCTGAGAGAGAGAGGATCTTCCATATCTTCCATCTGCTGGTTCACTCCCCAAATGGCCACAGTGTCTGGAGCCATAAGCCTCATCTGGGTCTCCCATGTGGATGCATGGGCCTGAGGACTTCAGCCATCTTCTGTTGCCTTCCCAGGTCCATTAAGCAGGGAGCTGGATCAGAAGTGAAATAGCTGGGACTCCAACTGGCACTCACCTGGGATGACAGGGTCCCAGGCAGTGGCTTAATCTGCTATGCCACCTTGCCAGCCCCAACTACTATAAGCATTTTTAACACTTTTAATTCTTGAATTAAAAAGAAAAAAAAGTATGAATTGATCACTTTTGATAATTGGTATCTGCTCATACTTCTGTGAATAATAAGGTTAGGGTGCAGATAAACAGGACTGACCACAGGTTGACAGCCGTTACATATCTGTTATAAAAATGGAACAGTTTGAGGAGATATATAAGTAGTTGAACTTCTCTTAAGGGTTACTGGAACAAAAAAAAATTGAAGGCCAGCGTTCTAAACTAAAGAAGAATAAAAAAAACCACATCTGCTTGTTAATCAAATAATCGTTAGTACCTGTATTAACCAGCAAATGACAGGTGCTCAGTAAACAGTAATTAAATGAACAAGTAGAGATGGAATTGTTGGCTCACGTGGCAAGAGATTTTAAAATACTTTTTTATTCAGAAAGACAGTTATAAATTGAAGTAATAATTATTTCTAACTAAGCATCATAAAATTTTTGCAATTCTGTATAGAATGGTCAGAAAAATTATCAACTTCAACTTATTTTAAAGCATTATTTTTAAATAGCATTAAAATTTTTCCTCAGTCCACGTTTATATTTAATATCAACTACATCTTATATTACAAGACAATTAATCACTTTAAACATGTAATCTGAGAGAATCTTTCACATTTAAGCAGCTTACCTTTCAAAGGGTGTTTGGACTCTCTTAATTACATGGTAGACAAGTATGTCTTTTGCCAACATATATTTATCACTTAATGTTGTTGCAAGTCTTTGACATCCAATAAGCTCTAGGTAGTTATAGCATTCATTTATTACTGAATTTAAATCAGCCATATTTGTTGCAGTATTTATCTGTAACAAAGGACAAAACATACTCGTTTCAATCACTTGTGACATTTACCATTCAAATCACATTACTTTTACTCTATTTTTAAGTACATCACTGTGGAGTAAAAGCAGAACAAATATTTTTCTAGAAAAAATGTTTGGTAATTCAGCTCAATAAATTTTTGACTCCAAGAAATCTTGTGAAGGCAAATGCTATGGTACTGTGGGTTAAGCTACCACTTGGTACTCCTGTATCCCATATCAGAGTGCTGGTTTGTATCCCGCCTCTTCTACTTGGAATCCAAGTTTCCTGCTAATACAAAAGCAATGGACGATAGCCCAAGTATTTGGGTATCTGCCACCCATATGGGAGACCTGGATCTAACAGTTTCATGGCTTTTGCCTGGTCCAGCTTTTGCCAGCTGTTGCAGACACTGGGGAAGTGAACCAGTGGATGAAAGATTCCTCTTCCCCTCTGTCACTCTGCTTTTCAACTAAATAAACTTTAAAAAGTGAAAAAAAAAAAAAAAAAAACAAACCAAAAAACCTAGAATATGACACTTTAATATAGGAAGTTAATTATATAAAAGGCAATAAAGTAACTTTTAAAAATTAAGGAATAATCCGTAAAGAAGAGTTATATAGGACTAGAGAAGCAAGAAAGAGGATATGGGGAAATCTCACGAAAGATTATAAGCTTAGGGGCTGGAGGTGGGGCATAGCTGGTTAAGTCATGACCTGCAACACTGGCATCCCATATTGGACCACTGGTTTGAGTCCCAGCTGTGCCACTTTTTATCTAGTTCCTTGCTAATGCACCTGGGATATAGCAGTGTAAGATGGCCCACGCAAGTCATCCATGTGGGAGAACTGGATGGAGTTCCAGGCTTCTGGCCCAGCCTCACCACTGAGGCCATTTGAGGAGTGAACCCACAGATAGAAGACTTTCTCTGTCTTACCCTTATTAAGACTCTGCCTTTCAAATAAATAAATAAATAAATACATCTTTTTTTTTTAACAGTATCAGCTGAGACAGAAAAAACAGTATTTTTTTTTTTTTTTTTTTTGACAGGCAGAGTGGAAAGTGAGAGAGAGACAGAGAGAAAGGTCTTCCTTTGCCGTTGGTTCACCCTCCAATGGCCGCCACGGCCAGTGCGCTGCGGCCGGCGCACCGCGCTGATCCGATGGCAGGAGCCAGGAGCCAGGTGCTTTTCCTCGTCTCCCATGGGGTGCAGGGCCCAAGCACCTGGGCCATCCTCCACTGCACTCCCTGGCCACAGCAGAAGGCTGGCCTGGAAGAGGGGCAACCGGGACAGAATCCGGCGCCCCAACCGGGACTAGAACCCGGTGTGCCGGCGCCGCTAGGCGGAGGATTAGCCTAGTGAGCCGCGGCGCCGGCCAGAAAAAACAGTATTTTATTTAAAGAATATTTTAGGGATCCACATAAACAAATATGTAACCAATTTTGTGCCAGACACTTTCATAGCATAGGTTTGTTCTTAAGTAAAGGTATAATAGGAGATAAAAACAGAAGGAGGGGTCGGCGCTGTGGCACAGTGGGTTAATGCCCTGGTCTGAAGCGCTGGTATCCCATATGGGTGCCGGTTCCAGACCTGGCTGCTCCACTTCTGATGCAGATCTCTGCTATGGCCTGGGAAAACAGCACAGATGGCCCAAGTCCTTGGGCCCCTGCACCCATGTGGGAGACCTGGAGGAAGCTCCTGGCTCCTAGCTTCGGATCGGCGCAGCTCTGGCCATTGTGGCCAACTGGGGAGTGAACCATCGGATGGAAGACCTCTCTCTCTCTCTCTGCCTCTCTTCTCTCTGTGTAATTCTGACTTTCAAAAAAATATACACATCTAAAAAAAAAAAAACAGAAGGTAATCAATAATTTATTAGTGGAAAATGTACTTTCAATTTCTTTAAGTTATCCACTTATTTTCATCTACTTGAAAAGCAGAGTGACCCAGGGAGAGCAATTTTGTACTCCTTGGTTCACTATGTAAGATGCCTGTCTCAATTGCTATTTACTTCCAAAATTTTTCTCCCAGAGACTTACATGAACCCATCATTCATTTCAGATTTCTTTGGAAGTCTCAGTAGTTTTCCTGGACTGCTCTACTTAAAGTACTACCTTCACACTCTGTCAGAGAGTAATAGCTGGGTATGTGTTACCCAATGCTCCTGACAAGCCTGCCACCACTCCTGAGTTTTAGTTGCATGCATAGCTGCACATTATCCATAGGTAAGTGTGGCTAAGACTATGATCTATCCAATGGGATGTGAGTGAAAACAATGCATCAAGTTTCCCTGTTCTTTACTTCTATTTTATCCCTAAAGAGCAAGCTTCAACCACATCCTAAGTGATTGCACAATGAGAGGAAGGAACTAAGTTGCCTAGTTGATTTTGTATATCACAAGTTTACTTTCACAGCAGGGACCACCATTTCTCTGTAAGGGCAATGTAGTAAGTATCCCATGCTCTGCAAATCACATAGTGCCTGTTGTAATTATTCAACTCAGTCACTGCAGTGACTGAAACATAAAAAATAGATGGGATATGTTCCATTCAAAGCATTTACAAAAAGATGAGATGAATCAGATTTCGCCCCTAGGTTGTAATCTGCCAACCCCAATCTGAAAATATAAGTAGATTTTAGTGGTAATAGTATCTGCCCTTGTGAGCCACTACCTTTTAGGGTTTGTTACAGAAGTTTAGCCTAAACCTTAACTTACATGAGGGGCCTTTGAAAAGTTCATGGAAAATATATGTATTGTGGGAATCTATGCATGGGTTTCACTAAAATATTTGGACTAAAGTAACTTTTAATTCTACTTATGCACAAACTTTTTAAGTACCCTCATACATACTCTATTATATGACTCTATTCTGTTGCATTTATCTTTATATTTTACTATGTAATAGTAGATTGCTTTAAAAAAACCAGTAGATTGAATTTATCTATCTTCTATATTCGCTCTAGAACATAAATCATCAATCCTAAGAACTTAAGAACTATGGTTCACTTTTTATTTCAGTGATATAACAGTATGGGGTACAGAAGATTTGTTGACTAAATGAATGAAAAAACACTGGATAGGCAGTACAGAAATTGGAATGGATAATCCAAGAAAAGAGTTGGAAATCTTAAAATCTCTAATGAAGAGCTTCAGCTTTATTCAATAAGCAATGAGAAAACTGAAGATTTCCAAGGAAGAAAGCAGTATGGTCAAATGTGTACTTTTGGAGGAATCATCTCAAAGATATTAGAAAGATATCCTATTTGTCTAAGCCTAGAAAAAATTTGAGCTTGATATAGTAGGCAAACCAAAAACAAGGAAAAGTTGAATATAAGTAACTTACACATATTAACTGGAAAATGGGATATTGAAGAAAGAAAATGACTCACACATGATAGTTTAGAAACAAGAAACCTCTTAGGAAATGAACATAGGCACAAAAATTTTTTTCTAAAAAAAATTAGTTTTATGTTAAACATGCTGGGATTAATGTGCTATCATGACATAGATCTTATCTACAAATGAAAATCTGGGGCTCAAATTTACAAAAAGGCTTCAAAACATTCATGTAAAAACTATGTACAGATTTCACAAAATTTTTGCAACAAAATAAACTCATAAGTTGTTAGAACATGGCTGAACAGGATATAGTGTGAGAAAAAGAAGACTAAGACATTAGCTTGAAAAGGGAAACTGTAAGAGCAATGTGAATTCTGCTGAAACTGAACCAAGAACAGACATCAAATGTATGGTGAATCTTGAGTGAAAAGAATAGTGAAATCATTGACTGTTTATAAAGTTTATGGAGATAATGACATAAAGAAATTAACAGTTTAGAAATGGATAACTTGTTTTGAAAAGGAATGATTTGGGGGCTGGAGCTGTGGTGTAATAGGTTAAGCCTCTGCCTATATGGGCGCTGGTTCAAGTCCTGGCTGCTCTACTTCTGATCCAGCCTCTGCTGATGGCCTGGGAAAGCAGTGGAAGATGGCTCAAGTGCTTGGGCCCCTGCACCTTTCTGAGAGATCCAGAAGAAGCTCCTGGCCTCTGGCTTCAGATCAGCCAAGCTCTGGCCATTGCAGCCATTTGGGGAGTGAGCCAGCAGATGGAAGACCTCTCTCTATCTGTAACTCTCGTCTCTCAAATAAATAAATAAATAAAATAAATCTTAAAAAAAAAAAAAAAAAGGAATGAGATGATGTTGAAGATGAAGTCCATAGTGGTAACATCCATATCAACTCACAAGGAAAAAATTTTGTTTATGCCCTACTTAAAAAGGATAAACAGTTCACAGCAGAAATAATAACCAACATCAGATATCTCAGTTGGTTCAGTTCACACAATTCTAACTGGAAAATTAAAGTAGAGCAAACTTTTTGCTCGATGGGTGACAAAAGTGTTGCAACCACATCAGCTGCAGTCTAGAGTACAGCTTTCAATGGAAATTTTCAACAAGTGGGATCAAGATCCTAAAGCACTTCTTCCAAGAACTGTGAGAGTAGATAGAACACGCAATTCTGAATATAAAGCACAATTAAAGCAACAGCTACCAAGAAGCAGACGTGGTTTAGTTAAAGCAAAAGAGGAATGACCAATCAAGAGCAAAGGTCATGGTAATAGTTTTATCGGAATGTTCATAGCATTTTGCTTGTTGACTTTCTGGAGGACCAAAAAAGGATGACACTTGTGTTAAGAAACTTATAGCCAAAGCTTTATCATAAACCACCCCTACCACCACCCTACCCCTGGCCCACCAGGCAAGTTTCACCAGAAAATCCTTTTCTATCACAACAATGCTCCTGTTCATTAGTCTCAAGGGCAATTTCTCGAGTATTTTGATAGGAAAACCTTTAGGCAGCCACCTTACAGTCCTGGTTTGGTTCTTTCTGACTTCTAATTCCTATTCTTAAAATAAATCTCTGAAGATCACCCATTTTTCTTCAGTTAATAATATAGAAAAGATTGCATTGGACATGGTTAAATACTCAGGGCCCTCAGTTCTTGAGGGATGGACTAACTGGCTGGTTTCATCACTTACAAAAGTGTCTTAAACCTGATGGAGCTTAGATTGAGAAATAAACTTTAGTTTAAAATTTGAATCTTTTACTTCCATTTCTCCAAGAACATTTTGAAGTTCCCTTATACAGGTCTATGCATAATTCAGAAAGGTTTTGTGGGAGGGGTAGATCTTCAAATAATACAGAATGAGAACTCTTAAGACAGCACTGAAAAATGCCTATATTTTGAGGGTAAAAAGAAAAAGCACTAAAGAAGACAACAGTAGTCCAAAATAAGGAGGAAGAGCCAGCACTGTGTGACACACTGGATTAAGCAGCCACCTGTGATACCTTCATCTCATTTGAGTGCTAGTTCAAGTACTGGCTGATCCACTTCCGATCCACCTCCTGGCTAATGCAGCTGGCAAAGCAGCAGAAGATAGCCAGAGTGTTTGGGTGCTTGCCACCCATGTGGTAGACCCAGATGGAGTTCCAATCTCTTGGCTTTGGCCTGGCCCAGCCCCAACTATCACATCCACTTGAGAAGTGGATGGAAGATCTTTCTCTGTCTCTCCTTCCCTTTATATCTTTGCTTTTCAAATAAATAAAATAATTTTTTTTTTCTTAAAGGAAGGAGGACAATATTAAAACGGCAGAGGAATTCTAAGAAAGGTACAGAAGTCAGAGAAGACACAGAATTTAAAAACAAAGGCTTTTGAATGTACACATTTAAAACCCTGTTTATCAAGGTACGAACAAACTAACTTGAGTGTGGTGGCAGAAACAAAGACATGCTTATGACAAGTTAAGAATTACATGGTAGGCTGGTGTTGTGGCATAGCAGGTTAAACTGCCACCTGCAATGCTGGCATCCCATATGGGCACTGGTTCCTGTCTTAGCTGCTCCACTTTTGGTCCAGCTCCTTGTAATGTACCAGGGAAAGCAGCAGAAGATGGCCCAAGTCCTTGGGGTGCCTGCACCCATGTGGGAGACCCAAATAAAGCTGGCTTTAGCCTGGCCCAGCCCTGGTCACTGAGGCCATTTGGGGAGTGAACCAGTGGATGGAATCTCTCTTTCACTCTACCTCTACCTCTCTCTCTGCAACTCTGCCTTTCAAAAAAAAAAAAAAAAAATCTGGAAAAAAAAAAAAGAAAATAAAAGAAATGTATGGAAAATGGGAAGTAAGTAAAAACAAGGAAGTCTGGGTATTTTTTTCTTTCTTTTTCTTTCTTTCTTTTTTTTTTTTTTTTTGGTAAAGAGGACAAAGTATAAATTGACAAGTTAAAGAGTTAATTTAAAACATGATTTTAGTATGAGCAGCCTTGGGCCAAATAAATAGAATTGTTCAAATATAATAAAAGAAAAAACTAGGGATCATCATGCTGTGGTATAGTGGGTTAAGCTGCCACCTGCAGTGCTGGCATTCCATTTTGGAATTCCCATTCCATTCCCAGCTGCTCCACTCTGATCCAGTTCCCTGCTAATGCGCCTTGGAAATCAGCCAAAGATGGCCTAAGTCCTTTGGCTCCTATATCCAAATAGGAGACCCAGAAGAAGCTCCTGGCTTTGGTCTGGCCCAGTTCTGGCCATTGTGGCCATTTGGGGAGTGAACCAGTGGATGGAAGACTCCTCTCTCTATTCCTCTGCCTCTGTTCCTCTCTAATTCTACTTTTCAAATAAATAAATAAATCTTAAACACACACACACACACACCCTTACACTTCCAAAGTGCTTACTTTGTGGTTTAGAAACTAAGGTTTGTGAGAAGTTAAGAAATGCATGGCAGGCCAGCATTGCAGCATAGCAAATTAAGCCAGCATCTGATACAGGCAGCAGTTTGTGTCCTGGCTGCTCCACTTCTGATCTAGCTCCCAGCTAATGAGACTGGGAAAGCAGCAGAAGATGGGCCAAGTGGAACGCCTAGACAGAGTTCCTGGCTCTGGGTGTAGGCCTGGCCAGCCCTGCTGTTGTAGCCATCTAGGGAGTAACCCAGCAGAAGGAAGATTAATCTCTTTCTCTCTCTGCTTTTCAAATAAATAATTAAACCTTTAGAAACAAATAGAGGCTTAACAAGTTAAATGAACATGCCCAAGGTCACACAGCTTATAATATTTATAAGAGTTGGTATTCTAACTACCATGCATACATCAGAGCCTATGCATTTAATCATTAAACTGTACTATTTATTAACTGAGATAATGGATAGAATATGCTTAAACCAGAGGGAAAATAAGATGGAAGAGTTAAATGGCTTCCATTGTTTCAGTTTCTGAATCAGTAACATGGACACAAGTATACTTATATTTATACATGTGACTTCTGTAACACAGGGCCCAGTAAGTGCTCAATAAGTGGTAACTATTTTTAGGTGAGAGCATTGAGGTCCTCTACTTGTTTCCATTTCAGAATGGTCTTCCTCTAACTATCATTCACTCACTTCTCCCCATAGGAGGAGAGTGAGTATTCTGACTGCAGAGCCAAGTCTTTCCTTCTTGGATATCTGCTTGCCTGCAGGGAAGTATACTTTCATGAGATATCTAGCGTGTGATAAGGAGCATCCTTCATACTGTCTCTGGCAGGGTGAATAAATCCATCTAGTTCTGAGTGGTGTTAGCAAGACCTTGAGATCAAAGAACTAAGTGACCTCATCCAATTGATTTAATCAGCATTAAAACTGGCACTGTGACTTTTTTACATCTGTCTCTTAAGTGGTTCTGAACTCTGCTTGGTAAACAGAAATATTATAAGTTGACACCCCAACTACTCCACAGAGAGTATAGTTTTATTACAGTTATTTATATTTAAATATATCTAGAATGGAATCTACATTTTAATAAACAGATACATGTCTTACCCTGATTATAATTTGGGCCACATCAAAGTCTGAAACATCGTCTAAAATTGGTTGGGTATTTTCTGGTCCATAAACAAGGCAATTGAACAAGGTTTTAGAAAAGAAACCAGGTGAAGGACCACCATGAACCAAAGATATGGCAAGCATTTTGCCAGCTTCATAGTAAAGATTCTCTTTCACAGCTGTAAACACAGATGAAAATACATAAAATACACTTCACTATTATAATCATTTTAAAGTATACATAATTAAAAAGATCTAAGCAATAGACAAACAAAATAGTAATTATTAGAAATGACAATGTATAAACACAGACTTCATCTAAAGTATACAAAAATGTATTTTTTTAAATATTATATTTATTTATTTGAGAGGTAGAATTACAGACAGTGAAAGGGAGAGACAAAGAGAAAGGTCTTCCATCTGTTGATTCACTCCCCAGATGGCCGCAACAGCCGGAGCAGCGCCAATCCGAAGCCAGGAGCCAGGAAGCTCCTCCCGATCTCCCACGCCGGTGCAGGGGCCCAAGGACTTGGGCCATCTTCTACTGCTTTCCCAGACCACAGCAGAGAGCTAAACTGGAAGAGGAGCAGCCAGGACTAGAACGGGTGCCCATATGGGATGCTGGCACCTCAGGTGGAGGATTAACCTACTGCAACATGGCGCCAGCCCCCCAAAAATGTATTTTTAAAATACAAGGTAATGGGGCTAGTGCTGTGGCACAGCGGGTTAAAGCCTTGGCCTGCGGCACCGGTGTCCCATGTGGACACCAGTTTGAGTCCCTCCTGCTCCACTTCCGATCCAGCGCTCTGATGATACTCCCTGATGATGCACCTGGAAGGGCAGTTGAGAATGGCCCAAGTCCTTGGGCCCCAACATTTATGTAGGAGATCCAGAGAAGCTCCTGGCTCCTGGATTCAGACTGGCTTAGCTCCAGCCACTGTAGCCACTTGGGTGAGTGAGCTAGTGGATGGAAGACCTCTCTCTCTCTGTCTCTACCTCTCACTGTAACTCTTTCAAATGAATTAAAGTCTAAAAAAAAAAAAAAAAAATACAAGGTAATAACCTATTACAAAAAATGACAAAATCTTGGGGCTGTCAATGTGGCACAGAGGGTTATGCCAGTGCCTACAAAGCTGGCATCCCATACTATAATGCCAGTTTGACTCTCAGATGGTCCACTTCCATTCCAACTTCCTGCTAATGTGCCTAAAAGTCCCAAGTACTTGGGACTTTGCCAGCCACGTATAAGACCAGGACGGAGTTTCTGGTCCTGGCTTTAGCCTGGGCTAGACCTGGCTGTTGCACCCATTTGGGGGAACAAGTAGATATAAAATCTTTCTCTGTCTCTCTCTTTCTCTGTTGTTCTGCCTTTCAAATAAATAAGTAAATAAATATAAGAAAAAAAAAAGAACAGTGAAGAGATGGTTTATTTTGAAATTTTAAAAAACTTAAAACCACCATAATAACCATTATAGCAAGCTATAGAAATGATTCCTGAAAGTATAGTCTACATATTAACCATTAATAACCTTCGGTGTATTTCTGTCTATGTATATATATAAATATAAGTAGTTTGACTTCTGGATTTGTTCCACTTACTATATTCCAAAATTTTTCTTATACTAGTCAAATTACTTAAATCTACAGTTAATTAAAGAATTAAGACCAACTTAGGGCCAGCGCCTTGGCTCACTTAAATCCTCCACCTGCGGCGCCAGCACCCTGGGTTCTAGTCCCAGTTGGGGTGCTGGGTACTAGTCCCAGTTGCTTCTCTTCCAGTCCAGCTCTCTGCTGTGGCCCAGGAGGGCAGCAGAGGATGGCCCAAATGCTTGGGTCGCTGCACCTGCATGGGAGACCAGGAGGAGGTACCCAGCTCCAGGCATTGGATTGGCACAGCGCCGGCAGTAGTGGCCATTAGGGGAGTGAACCAACAGAAGGAAGACCTTTCTCTCTGTCTCTCTCTCACTGTCTATAACTCTCTCTCTGTCTCTCTCTCTTACTGTCTAACTCTGCCCGGCAAAACAAAACAAAACAAACAAACAAACAAACAAAAAACAAAAAAAACAACTTAGAAGTTTGTGCAAACCATCCTGGTTGAGTGACACTTTCAACTATATGAGACACAGTGTTATATCTATTTACATATCTTATGAACGTATTTTATTATTTGGTTAGCATAGAATCTTACATATGAGATTAGTGGTCAAAGAATATGTACATTATCAGTATTACCTTCTAAAAATGCACAAACTTACTCCCCAACACTGGTTTTCTCTTACCATTCCCTTAAAGATTTAAATACTTTTTTTATTTAAATACTTTTAAGATGTTTTAGTAACCTTTATGTGTCAGAAAGATATATAAATGCTTTCTTTTTCTATCAAAGCGATTTATTAGTAAGCAATATTTATAATACATGAATTTATAATAAAACCTCTTCAGTAACAATGATCAGTCATATTTATAGATGAAGAAAACAAGATAGAGAGAGGGTGAGCAAACTAAGGATGTAATGTTTTAGATGTATACAACTTAAAATTAAGATTTCCTGACTTAAATTCATGCACTCCTCACTGCACCAAAGCTGCCGTGAGTTACCGTTGCTGATTATTCGAAGGTTTTCATTTTTAAGGAAGTTTAGAATTAAACTATGTACTACAAGTATACAGTAAAAATGATGCTTCAGGTAGTCAGAAAGTGCTAGGGAAAATATGAAAGGAAATTCAAATGCGAAAAAATAAAACTTCTTATTCTTTCAAAATACCTCTTGTAGCAAAAATGTTATATAAGCTCCTGAAAAAATGCTAGAATTATTATTTTGAGATACTTGTTTCTATCCTATTAATTTCTCTATGATAACAGAGAAGTGTTCATATACAAAGCTGTGTAAAAAAGTTCATGAAAACAGAAATACACTTAAGAATCTATTACATATGAGACAAAACTATTTCTTTTTTTTTTTTTTTTTTTTTTTTGACAGGCAGAGTGGACAGTGAGAAAAGGAGAGACAAGATAGAAAAGTCTTCCTTTACTGTTGGTTCACCCTCCATTGGCCGCTGTGGCCGGTGCACCACACTGATCCGAAGCCAGGAGCCAGGTGCTTCTCCTGGTCTCCCATGTGGGTGCAGGGCCCAAGGACTTGGGCCATCCTCCACTGCACTCCCCGAGCCACAGCAGAGAGCTGGACTAGAAGAGGGGCAACCGGGACAGAATCTGGCGTTCCGACTGGAACTAGAACCCGGAGAGCCGGCGCCAGAGGCGGAGGATTAGCCTATTGAGCTGCGGCACTGGCCAAGACAAAACTATTTCTTTAAAAATCCTAGGTTGTAAAGAAATATGCCAACTGCAAATTTCAAATATATGAACAAGAGAAGTTCAAATAGTCATCCACCTGTGGTTTCTGTAAAGTAGTGGTTATCACATTCGCCTCACCAATAGTCATCCATCCCATTTGGTCACTCCATTCAAATGAAATAAGAGCAAATATAGGCCGGCGCCGCGGCTCACTAGGCTAATCCTCTGCCTTGCTGCGCCGGCACACCGGGTTCTAGTCCCGGTTGGGGCCCCGGATTCTGTCCCGGTTGCCCCTCTTCCAGGCTAGCTCTCTGCTGTGGCCAGGGAGTGCAGTGGAGGATGGCCCAAGTGCTTGGGCCCTGCACCCCATGGGAGACCAGGAGAAGTACCTGGCTCCTGCCATCGGATCAGCCCGGTGTGCAGGCCGCAGCATGCTGGCCACGGTGGCCATTGGAGGATGAACCAATGGCAAAAGGAAGATCTTTCTCTCTGTCTCTCTCTCTCACCGTCTACTCTGCCTGTCAAAAAAAAAAAAAGAGCAAATATAATGGGGTCAGTGCTGTGGCACAGGCACCTTCGATGCCAGTTCCCTTATGTGCACTGATCCGAGTTCCATCTGCTCTACTTTTAATCTAGCTCCCTGCCAATGCACCTGGGAAAACAGTGGAAGATGGCCCAAATGCTTGGGCCCCTGAACTCACGTGTGAGATCCAAATGATCCTGGTTTCGGCCTGGCCCAGCCCTGGCTGTTGCACCCACTTAGAGAGTATACCAGTGAATTTAAGATTTCTCTCTCTACCACTGTGTCTCCCTTTCTGTAACTCTGCCTTTCAAATAAATAAATTTTGTTTTTTTTTTAAAAAAAGGAATGAATAGGGGCCAGCGCCGTGGCACAGCAGGTTAATCCTCTGCCTTTGGCACCAGCATCCCATATGGGCGCTGGTTCTAGTTTCAGCTGCTCCTCTTCCAGTCCAGCTCTCTGCTATGGCCTGGGAAGGCAGCAGAAGATGGCCCAAGTCCTTGGGCCCCTGCATCCACATGGGAGACTGGGAGGAAGCTCCTGGCTCCTGGCTCGGATCGGTGTAGCACCAGTCATTGTGGCCATTTGGGAAGTGAACTAGCAGATGGAGGACCTTTCCCTCTGTCTCTCCCTCTCACTGTCTGTAACTGTATCACTCAAATAAGTAAATAAATATATCTTTAAAAAAAGGAATGCATATAATATAACGTTAAAAATTAATTATGAAGTCATTTTAAAGAGGATATTACTATGAAGTATAGATATTCTCAAGTAAAAAAAAGTTTCACTAAGAAATTTACTTTTTGAAAAATCACCCTGAATTCCCCTATTCTGTAATTCTATCAGCATCTTAATAATGAGACAAATTGTTTATTTAAATCATAGGGTCAAAAATTAATTCCAACCAGGTATCTATTTGTTTGTCTATACATGATATATTCAGTATATACAATAATAATTACCTTGAGAATTTAGAGACAAGTTCTTTGACAAGGACCCTTCAAACAATGATGAGTTCTCAAGATGCTGCATTAAGAGACTTAGAAATTCTTGCTTTGACCCAGGATGTTCTCTTCCAAAAGGATCATCTTCATTAACATATACAACTTCGATTGTATATAAAGGATTAAAGTTTTGATTTCTGAATCCATCTAAGGCACTATTCCAGATACTGGCTTTGTTGATACATAACCTTTTAGTTTTTTTCTTAATTTGGAAGCCTAACTCTATCAGTATGGTTGAAATCTCTCTTCTAAACTTGCTGCCTTGCCTGTAAAACATGAATTTAAACATAGATGTTAAGTACTTTAAAAAAAGACATAATGTAAAACAGTAGTTACAACACCCAATAAAAAAGAGAAAAAGATTAAGAGGTCCTTCTCCCCTAACTCTCACTCAAAAGCAGAACAATGGCTACAACTGAAGCCAAACACAGTTATTTAACAACCTTAGTTTTAAATTCTTGATTCTTCACCCCCATCTTCTACCAAACTCAAATCACTTAAAAAGATGCTGATAAATGTAACTTCTGATCTTGACAGACTACACATGTATTTTTAATCATAAACCTGTAATATATAGCAAAGCTAATATTATAAGTGGAATCCAAATAGTATATTTTAGTCTACACTAATAGTTTTCAAAGTGTGGTCCTAGACTAGCAACAGCAACATTACCTGGCAATTTGTTAAAAATGCAGATTACTCAGGGCTAGTGGTGTGGTACAGCAGGTTAAGCCTTTTCTAATTTAGCTTCTGGCTAATGTATTTGGGAAGGCTGTACATGACCCAAGTGATGGGGCTTCTGAGATCCATGTGGGAAGCCTGGATGGAGTTCAGAGCTCCTAGCTTTGGCTTAAACCAGCCCTGGCTGTTGCAGTCATTTATGAGAATGAATCAGCAATGGAAGAACGCTCTCTCCCTGTCACTCTGGCCTTCAAATAAGCAAATAAATAAACATCTTTAAAAAAAAAAGAGTGCAAATTACTGAGCACCACAGTTTATCTACAGAATCGGAAACTCTGTTTTTAACCTGAGTTTCTCCATGTATAACTGGAATTAATGTATTCAGAGTGAATGATTCACCTTTATATTTCAAAATTTGTCTCATCCCAAGACAGGACACCCAAGACATGACAATGCTCCATTATGGTCCGAGTTCTGCTTTTTGGTTTTTCATATCCAAGGTGAAGAAAACCCAAAATTACCCCTTTCTTACAGTAGGTTAGATCCCTTGCTCCTACAAGGGTCAGTGGTAATGCCGATGCTACTCTTTTAGAACACAACTGTTTATTCAAGTAGAAGCAAGGAGTCACGCTGCCTTAGTACAACATCTTTGCAATCCCAAATATTACAAATATTTTAAAATAATTTGGGGCTGGCTGGCGCCGCGGCACACCAGGCTAAACCTCCGCCTGCGGCACCGGCACCCCAGGTTCTAGTCCCGGTCAGGGCGCCGGATTCTGTCCCGGTTGCTCCTCTTCCAGTCCAGCTCTCTGCTGTGGCCCAGGAGTGCAGCGGAAGATGGCCCAGGTGCTTGGGCCCTGCACCCACATGGGACCAGGAGGAAGCACCTGGCTCCTGGCTTCAGATTGGTGCAGTGCACTGGCTGCAACACGCCGGCCGTAGCGGCCACTTGGGGGGTGAACCAATGGAAAAAGGAAGACCTTTCTCTGTCTCTCTCAGTCTAACTCTGCCTGTCAAATACATAAATAAATAAATAATTTAAAATAATTTGGATGGGCAGGTGTTTGGTGCAGCAGTTTAAATTGCTACTCAGGACACATGCATCCCATATTGGAGGGTTCAACTCCAGGTTACTCTGCATTATGTCCAGCGTCCTCCTAATGTGCACCCTGAGAGGCAGCACATCATGGCTCAAGTATTTTACTCACTACCACCCATGTGGCAGACCCAGACTGAGTTCTTGGCTCCCAGTTTTGGCCTGGTACAACCGAGCTGCTGCAGGCATTTGGGGAGTGAACCAGTGGATGGAAGATCTCTGTGTCTGGATGCCTGTCTGTCTGTCCTTCATATAAAATGAAGGGGAAAAAAAAGTAAAAATAATGTATCTTTTTTAGTACAAAAAGTATAACAAAAAATTACAATAAACATACATTTCAGTTGTTCTACCACAGGTAGCATCTTATTGTTATTTTAAGGATTTAAGTCTTTCTTTATGTGAAATAGAGAGAGGGGGCAGACATTTTCCATTCCCCAAATGTCCACAAAAAGCCAGGACTGTGCAGGCTGAAGCTAGGAGCCAGAAACCCCATCTGGATCTTACACATGGGTAGCAGGAGGCCAGACACTTGGGTCATCTTCCACTGCTTTCCCAGCACATTAGCAGGAAGCTGGATCAGAAGCAGAGTAGCAGGACTTGAGCTTGCATTCCCATATGGGATGCTGGCATTGCAGGCTGTGGATTAACCTGTTGTGCCACAATGCTGATTCTACAAGTAGCATTTTAAAACAGCAATTCCTCACTTTTTGATGAGTATTAATTGTATGCCTATCTATAAATTTGAGTTTTATCAAGTATTTTCAAAATCTCTTTTCCATCTTCTAGGTGTTTAAACTTGGAATTATTTTTAATCACAAAGTATTTCATCATGTTTAAATAATGATGGTACTTTCCTACTTTTTCCTATTTGGTGAAATCAAGGCTCTTTTTACAAAGCTGCATAAACTTAAAAAAAATCATACACCTGAACAAATATCTAACACAATATGAAGATGTAATTCTAGTCTTGGTGAACTGCTTGTGTGATATCAAAAGTTATCTGTCTTGTGAAATTAATAAAATTAATGCGATAATTCTTACAAAGTATGCTTTGAACTTTCTAAAGGGCTGACATTTAGACTTGTAAATGACAGTAAACATATTAAGCAGTGATTACAACATTAAGAAACAAGCCATCTTTATATTAAATAGGGCTCCTTACTTTTAACAAAGTGACATGGTACAATTAATATTTTAAATCCTATCTTACTCTATAATCAAACACATTTTCCAGAATAGTTTTTCAAACTATCTTGAAAATGATCTACAAGAAAAAAAATTTTATATCATGACTCAGTTTACAATAAACTAAATAAATTTTAGATATATTCTTCCTATGTGCATTGGTATCTGATAATCTACATTCCACTTTGTTTACTTAATGCTGGATGCATTAATTTCATGATCAAATGCTGGACCCTGCAGTTTCAAAAGCACTTTTAGGTTATTTTAAGACCAGCCAATATTCCAAGCAGCATTTCCAAATAGATTTTGTATTTTTCTCCAAAATCAAAATACACACCTCAGTAGATCTTTACTTTGGGCTCCAGGTGACTGTCTGGGTAATTTAGGTGATGATTCCTCCAACAAACAATCAGTAATTGCTGCACTGTTAGAGTTGGGTAATGCATGTTTTTTGGCTTTTTGGAAACCTGCAAATTTGAATTCCAGCATTAGCATAGTAGAAATACAGATATAAACTTTAAAACAGGTATTTGAGTATAAACAGCTTTGTACAAAATTACAAAATATTACCTGAATTGTAGATAATACTTCTACATTCCAAACACTCCCAATTTTGTTCCCATGATCGTAGTGAGGAACAGGCTAAATGTGTTCCACTAGAACCACAACACTGACAGCGCTTTATTTCCCACTTGCTAAGGATACAAAGAAAGGAAGAAGTTTATGTTTTGGTATTCTCTAAATCTAGTTTTAACCACCAAGCACTACCACAGGAGGGAAGACACATTACCTATTTTGATTCTGCAATTTTTCCAAAGTCTTCAATATTTCATTTATGTTTGTAACTACTTCCTCTAAATATATCCCCTAACCTAAACTAACTAAATATCAACACAAAAAGAAATATAAACATCAGAAAGAATGTGAGTTAGGAGAGAAAAAAAATCTTCCCTTATATTTAGAGATGACATGCTCACAGGTAAACTGTTATATCAGTGTGTCTGTCTGACGTGGAAGCAGAAGCATTCAGTCAAATTTCAAAGTAAGCAATATTTCCTGAAATAATCTTGCTTGGACACCTCACGTACTGTGCAGCACAACAGGGTCCAGCCTTCCTACCTAGCCCAACTTCACCTTCTGTCTCATCTATCCGATCTCTCTGCAGGCCTCTCCGTTGAGTTCTACATGTTCCAGTCCACATTGCTATTTTCTGTATGGGTACAATTGTGGCCTTCCCTTCCTGTATGGGTATGAGCATAACTGTTTTGTACAGAAATGGGTATTGTTCCCTGAGTACACTGAAATTTGGGTGTTACGATGGGTATCTGGATACCCTATCCCCACTCACAGATCTGGGAATATCATCCTTCTGTGTGTGGGTATGGGTGTGTCGGTGTTATATATGTACCTCCGCTTCTTCCCCAGATGGTTCTGCCCACTGATGATGAGGATGGTGACAGCTAACCTGAGTCCATACTAAGCACCAGGCCCAGTTCTCAGTCTTCACATGAAAAAGTTCAAAGAAACCCTTGTTATCTATACTTTAAAGAAGATGAAACCAAAGCACAGATGAGTAAAAAATTGCCCAATCAAGCTGATTCTAATCAAGTTTCAAGTGAGGTTTCCAATATAGTTTACCTGGCTAACAACTACACTATTTTGCCTTTCAGCAGATAGCTAATGTCCCAGAAGAAAGGGCAAAAAATTACAGCAATTATAAAAAGCAGTATGGGGGCCAGCGCCATGGCTCAATAGGCTAATCCTCCACCTGGTGGCGCCAGCACACCGGGTTCTAGTCCTGGTCGGGGCGCCGGATTCTTTCCTGGTTGCCCCTCTTCCAGGCTGGCTCTCTGCTGTGGCCCGGGAGTGCAGTGAAGGATGGCCCAAGTGCTTCGGCCCTGCACCTGCATGGGAGACCAGGAGAAGCACCTGGCTCCTGCCTTCGGATCAGCGCGGTGCGCCGGCCGCAGCGCGCCAGCCATGGCGGCCATTGGAGGGTGAACCAACGGCAAAAGGAAGACCTTTCTCTCTGTCTCTCTCTCTCACTATCCACTCTGCCTGTCAAAAAAAAAAAAAAAAAAGGCGGTATGGGAATAACATGGTAGTTTTTGCAGTTACTGATTGTGTGACCAATGGTATTAAAGAAGTACATATGTAGTTTATAGAAACAGCCTAAATTAAATTTTTAAAATATCAATATTAATGGAAAAAAAGAATGTTTTGCTTCTTAAAAGCCTATATACAAATGATCTCATCTACACTGCAGCACAATCCTTGAGGGAAGTATTAGTCATATTAGTATTTAAAAATGAATAGACATGGCCGGCGCCGCGGCTCACTAGGCTAATCCTCCGCCTAGCGGCGCCGGCACACCGGGTTCTAGTCCCGGTCGGGGCGCCGGATTCTGTCCCGGTTGCCCCTCTTCCAGGCCAGCCCTCTGCTGTGGCCCGGGAGTGCAGTGGAGGATGGCCCAGGTGCTTGGGCCCTGCACCCCATGGGAGACCAGGAAAAGCACCTGGCTCCTGGCTCCTGCCATCGGATCAGCGCGGTGCGCCGGTTGCATCGCGCTGGCCGCGGCGGCCATTGGAGGGTGAACCAACAGCAAAGGAAGACCTTTCTCTCTGTCTCTCTCTCTCTCACTGTCCACTCTGCCTGTCAAAAAAAAAAAAAAAAAAAATGAATAGACAAGGCCACTAAGTCAACTTAACATGGGCAAGAACACATGATAACTGATACCTGAACAAGATCTCTGCCCTTGAAAGATTTTGGTTTAACAGTATTAAATCTAAATAATGCATGGAGCTGACATTGTGGCACAGAGAAGGTTAAGCCGCAGCCTGTGATGCCAGCATCCCATATAGACAGCAGTTCAAAGTCCCGGCTACTGCATTTCCCATGCAGCTCCTTGCCAATGGCTTGGGAAAGCAGCAGCTGGTCACCCAAGTGCTCAGGCCCATGCCACCCAAATGGAAGACCCAGATGGAGTTCCGGGCTCCTGTCTTCGGCTTGGCCTGGACCTGGCCATTGTGGCCATTTGGGGAATGAGACAGTGGATGGGAAGATCTCACTTTGTCTCTCTTTCTCTGTAGTTTTGCCTTTCAAATAAATAAATCTTAAAAAACACTACATCATAATAAGCCAAATCAAGGTAACTCCTAGCCCAGGGTAGGGAATCAGGAATAAGACCTGCTTAGAAAGAGCATTCCAAAGCTGCCCAGATGCTTAGCAAAATCTTCACAAATAAGTAGCTGACCCAGGCAAATCACTTTCCATGAGAAACAAAGCTCCAATATCCTGTTCTCTAATGAATCAAGGAAGATTATGTAACAGGAATAATAATTCAATGAGCTTTCCTATATAAATTGACAAAACTGGACTTGTTAATTCTTTATCTTACTCCTAAATGAAGATAAATGCTTCTTAGCACCCCATACAGTTGAGTATACCTGAAATGCATAAAGTAATTGTTGAAGAGTACAGCAGACATCTATTGATGTTACAAAAGAATAATCAGTAAATTTCAAATGCTAACACTTTTTGGAATGGTCCAAAAGAAACAATTCTGGATTAACCCAACTAACTGGTAAAACAGGGCTGTCTAGTAGAAATTTGAAGCAAACCATATAAAAATTCAAAAATTTATAGTAGGTAAAAATATAAAAATAAGTAAAAGAATTTGAATATTTTGCTTACAAAATACTATCCTTTTATTCAACAAGTAATCAATAAAAAACTATTGTGTTGAGCATGTCCCAAATTGTACATCTCCTCCCTCTCTTATTCCCACTCTTATATACCAGTGCCATCTCACTAGTCCCAGTGATCAATTTCTGTTCACAATTGATCACACTGATAGGTCTAAGAGTCAAAGGGATTACACAAACAAGACTAGTGTCTGCTAATACTAACTGATAGAATAAAAAAGGGAGAGAACGATCCAACATGGGAAGCAGGATACACACACAGCAGACTCATAGAATGGCGGATGTCCTAAACAGCACTCTGGCCTCAGAATCAGCCCTTAAGGCATTCGGATCTGGCTGAAGAGCCCTTGAGAGTATTTTAGGCATGGAAAACCAAGACACTCTGGCAAAAAAAAAAAAAAAAAACACCACCTAAATGAAAGATCTCTATGAGTGAGATCCCAGTGGAGAGAACGGGGCCATCAAAGAAGGAGGTACCTTTCTCTGAAGGAAGGAGAGAACTTCCACTTTGACTACGACCCTGTCGAATAAGATCGAAGTCAGCGAACTCAAAAGGCTTCCATAGCCTTGGCAACTCATGACTAGAGCCTAGGGAGATTACTGATGCCATAAACAAGAGTGTCAAATTGTTAAGTCAACAACAGGAGTCACTGTGTACTTACTCATCATGTGAGATCTGTCCTTAATGTGTTGTCCAATGTGAAGTAATGCTATAACTAGTACTGAAACAGTATTTTACACTTTGTGTTTCTGTGTGGGTGTAAACTGATGAAATCTTTACTTAATATATACTGAATCGATCTTCTGTATATAAAGATAATTGAAAATGAATCTTGAAATGAATGGAATGGGAGAGGGAGCAGGAGATGGGAGGGGCGCGAGTGGGAAGGAAGTTATGGGGGGAGGAAAGCCATTGTAATGCATAAACTGTACTTTGGAAATTTATATTTACTAAATAAAAGTTAAAAAAAAAAAACTATTGTGTTTACGGGCTGAACTGTGTCTTCCCAAAATTTATATACTCAAGTCCTAAGAATGTAACTATACTTGGAGATAAGGCTATTTAAGAAGGTAATTACAATCAGGTCATCTGAGTGGACCCTAAGCCACTATGACTTACGGTATTACACACACACGCAAGATTATTATGCAGAAAACAGGTACAACTATGCAAGGACATAGCTCGATGGCAGCCATCTTGCAAGCCATGGACAAAGACTTCACATAAAACCAAAAATGCCATCTCCCTGATCTTAGACTGCTAGTATACAAAATTCTGAGAACACCAATTTCTGTTTTTAAGCCAAGCTGTAATAGATATTTTGTTATGACAGTACAGGTGAACTAAGTCTTTGGTGTCCATTGTATTTTTACATATCACCTCAATTTGAAATAGCCACAGTTCAAGTGCTGAATAGTGACATAACGCTGGTGGTGACCATACAGAATACAGCAGCTCTAGAAAATAGAGCTTTATGAAATTACTCCAGAAAACCAGTTACAGATATTTGAACTACAAAAAAATTTTCTGTAAATGTATATAAACATAAATTTAATAAATACATAAGTTAAAACTTCAAATATCATCAGAGCAAAAGTATATTTCATTAAACTAGAAAACCAACTTTTTCAGTTGGAGGTTTAAATAAGAAACCAGTAATACCTGTCAGGTGCATTATAGTCTCGCCCTTCTTTACAACGACATCTTCGGACATCACAATGCTCGTAGTGCTGCAGAAGCTCTTGATAAGCATTTTCTTCTAATTCCCAAGAGGCATCTCTATAAACAAGAGTAGAGGGGTGGATGTGGCCATTTGGGAAGTGAACCAGTGGATGGAAGATCTCTATGTCTCTCTCTCTCTGCTTCTGTCTCTCCCTTACTGTACCTCTGCCTTTCAAATAAATAAATTTAAAAAAAAATGCTCTTTAAAATATAAAACTGTTATAATGTCATTTTATTCTACAGTTAGTCTCACAGTGAATTTTAAATGCTTAATAAAAACCTAAGCAAAAACTGCTATGACATTTTCCCTAATATTTTACTTCCAATTTTTAATTTCAAATTTACTGTCATTTCTAGACTCCTCATCTTTAAGCATTAAGAAAATTATTTTCATTCACACTAAACCATATCCTGATTCCCTTAGCTAAATTTGCACACACCATTTTGAAACCTATGTATAAGTCAATCAAATCTGGAAACAGCCAAGGTACTTTTATTAAGAGGCTACAAATCAACTAATGAGACATTTACAACATCATAGTTCCTGATCTTCAAGAGTCCTTCCTTGCTGTCATCTGGGAAAGGAAAGAAGGCCTTTATTTCATCACTGGAAATGGCTATCTGTCCATGATCACTCAGTCAGACACCGAAGATGATTTATAAGCAAATACATCATGTATTTAAAATACCTTTTCTTTTTCTTGTCAAAAGGCTAAATATTACTCACTTTTCAGGAATATGAATTCCCATTCTCAACATCTCTTTTTGAAAGATGTCACTATTATTGCATATTGTACACCTAAAGAAAAACACTCCTGCATTTATTGCTTGAGCCTACAGTGGAAAACAGAAAATCTACTGTTAAGTTTCTTATCAGGTTATAAATTATATGACAAACAGAACATGTGCTATTTTTCACTTAATAGAATATGCAAACATTATCTCTGCAAACATTTTCTCAAACTTTGTCCTTACAAACTATGTCTCCCCACTGTTAAAATCTGATCTTTTTTTTCCAGGGTTAAAATGTGAAAAGTGAGCTAATGAGTAAGTTACTTTGCTTAGCTTTACATCTGTCACCCAAAGATTCTCAACCTTTGATACATAATGTTATTTCTATCTCTAAATATCATGTTGCCCTCTATATTGTGAGAAAAAAAAACAGAAAATCTTGGGTTATTTCTTCTAAAAAAGATGTTGTTAGAAGTAAATCATCCCTGGTTCTATTTTTAACTCAATCTGTAAAATTAGTTTCCTTTCCACAAAAGAGAACCTTAACACCTATTCTCAATGCCACCCAAATTACAAACACAGAAGCCACAGACAGAGGGTACTCAGAAGGAAAAGGAAATTACAAGAGTATTAGAAAGAGCCAGTCCTCAGTTAAAATTAGTAGCACACATTCATTTAACTAATACTTAAAGTCTACTTATAAATGCCAAATAGTGTGTTATGTACCAAAAGTAAAAACATAGGGGCTGGCGCTGTGGTGTAGTGGGTAAAGCTGCTGCCTCCAGTGGCGGCATCCCATATGGGTGCTGGTTCAAGTCCCAGCTGCTCTACTTCCAATCCAGCTCTGTGCTGTGGCCTGGGAAAGCAGTGGAAGATGGCCCAAGTCTAGGGCCCCTGCACACCTGTGGGAGACCTGGAAGAGGTTCCAGGCTCCTGGCTTCAGATCGACACAGCTCCCGGCTGTTGCAGCCAACTGGGGAGTGAACCAGCAGATGGAAGATCTCTCTCTCTCTCTCTCTGCCTTTCCTTCTCTCTCTGTGTAACTCTGACTTTCCAATAAATAAATAAAATCTTTAAAAAAGAAAGTAAAAACATAAAATGATCTAATTCCAACTTCAAGGAATTCTAGTGAGTAGGCATACAGACATAGAACTGGCGTTCAGCTTGGCAGCAATATATATTCTAAAATTAGAATGATACAGGGAAGTTTAGCATGGCCCCTGCACAAAGATGACATGTAAATTCATAAAACGATTCATTTTTTTTCCAAACAAATAAAAAAGAAATCTTAAGGGGCGAGCTTTGTGGATGCTGGTCTAAGTCCTGCCTGCTCTACTTCCAATACAGCTCCATGCTAATATGCCCGGGAAAGCAGTGGAATATGGTCCACATGCTTGGGCTCCTGCAAGCATGTGGGAGACCTGGAAGAAGTTCTGGGCTCCTGGATTTGGCATGGCACAGTTCCAGCCATTGCAACAATTTAGGGAGTGAACCAGCAGATGGAGAGACTTTCTGTCTCTCCCTCTGTCTGTAACTTTGCCTCTCAAATAAATAAATAAATCTTTTTTTTTAAGTATATACATAAAAGAACGAGAAAGAAGCAAATAGTCTATAATCACAAAAATGCCACAAGGACAGTAAGGCCAAAATTAAGTCTGGAAAAAGAAATAAAGGACAAGCAAAAGAAAAGATGTTCTAAGGATAGAGAATAGCACATGTCAAAGTCTCAGTGGCAACAGAGAGAACATCTGATTAGAAAACTGCAACAAATAATATATTTGGGATTACATTCTAGCCAAATTGAACTGAGTAATGAGTATAGACATGTAAATCAGTAGTGTGATCAATAAATCAATAGGGAATAAGGCACCCAGAAGAAAAATCAATTAATAGCTTTCCATAAAAAAGTATCTGAGGGTGGGTATTTGGCCTAGCAATTGGGACACAAGATAAGACAGCAGTGGAATGCCTGGGTTCAATTCCTACTTCCTGTCAACGCAGACCCATGGAGGTAGCAGGTAATGGGTCAAGTAGGTGCGCTCCTGACACTCTGGTGGGAGACATGGATTTCATTTCTAAACTCCTACTTCTGGCCCCAGACTAGCCCAGCCTCAGATATTGTGGGTACTTGGGAAACGAATGGAAGTGAACCAGTAGATAAGAGCTTTGTGTTTCCATGTGTCTGTTTCTATCTCTCAAGTGAATCACTAAATAAATAAACAAATGTTAAAAGTATATGAAGTTAAAGCAACAGGAGTAGGATTCCAATAAAAGAGGATGCACAAAAAAAGATACTTATAAAGTAGCCCTTATATAGCTGGAGTATGATTTGTGTAATGGTGAAGAAGGAAGTAAATAAAGATGATCCAAGGTTCAGACAACTATTAAGAGGTGCATGTGTTTGCCCTTTTACACACACACACACCATATAGGAGGAAAGCAACAAGTTACGGAAATCTCTGAGCAAGCACAGGCAGATACCAAGACCTTATTAAATAAAAGATGTGATACAAGAAGTACCTGATATGGAGGGGGAAAATGACATAGGACACATGAACATACTAATAAGACTAGAACAATGATGAGTTAAAACTGAACATAAATACTGATAATTCTGACATGCAGAGTGGAAAGTTCTTATCAAGTTCTTATCGCTAGTCTCTACTCAACAAAATCTCAAAATATAGCACTTGTGGTAACAAGTAATGACATTTGTTTAACCATATACAGTTATCTAGACTGAGTAGATTCCAAATACTATTTCAGTTAAGGCTCTGGTATCAAAGTGGAAAGCCATAAAAGGTCCTTTAGAAAAGTGATTTAAGAACCAGCCCTATCTCCATGTGCTCTAATCAAGTAACAATTGCCTACTGATTTTTATTTCACAGACAGGTATCCACGTGATTTTAAATTATATTGGCATAAAAATACTCATTGTGTTAATAATGCCATTTCTTTTAGAATTAAAAATTTAGTAATTTCAGAGTGTTCCGAAAAAGCCCTATGAATACTAGGTCAAGTTTGAGAGTCTTCTGCTTCATTTTTTTTTTTTTTTTTTGACAGGCAGAGTGGACAGTGAGAGAGAGAGACAGAGAGAAAGGTCTTCCTTTGCCGTTGGTTCACCCCCCAAATGGCCACTACAGCTGGCGCGATACAGCTGGCGCACTGCGGCAATCCGAAGCCAGGAGCCAGGTGCTTCCTCCTGGTCTTCCATGCAGGTGCAGGGCCCAAGCACTTGGGCCATCCTCCACTGCACTCCCAGGCCACAGCAGAGAGCTGGACTGGAAGAGGGGCAACCGGGACAGAACCGGCACTCCAACCGGGACTAGAACCCGGGGTGCCGGTGCCACAGGCGGAGGATTAGCCAAGTGAGCCGCGGCGCCGGCCCTTCTGCTTCATTTTTAATACATAAATGAGACAAATCTTATTTGTCTTGAAAAATAATATATTATAAAATTAACAAGATGAAACATTTGGCAGCAATTACATGATGATGTTTTTAAGCCACACTCTATGGGATCCTTTTATAAACAGTTCTTTTCAAGAATTAATGAAATTTCCAGGATTTCCTCAACAAAATAGGCTTCACTCTGCCACTTTTAACTGAATAATCCTAAGTATAGTACAAGACCCATACCAAAAAAACCCAAGAAATTAATTAACTTTTATTACTTGGACTACTATTAATATTTTCTTACTAAATATTTGATTATTTATTTGAAAGGCAGAGTGATGGAGAGAGGGAGGACAGACATAGAAAGAGAGATATCTACCATCAGTTGGCTCACACCTCACTGACTGCAAAAGCTGGGCCTGAACCAGATCCAAGCCAGGAGTCAATTACCCCATCTGGGTCTTCCACATAGATGGTAGGAGCCCAAGTACTTGGGCCATCATCTGCTGCCTCCAGGCACCTAAGTAGGAAACTAGATTGGAAGCAGAGCAGCCAGGACTTGAATCAGTACTTTGACATGGGATGCAGATATCCCAAGCAGTGCATTAACCCACTGTTCCCCAACACTTACTCTGTTGACCCTGCTACTGACTTCATTAAAATATAAGAGAATTTATATCTTTTTTTTTTTTTTTTTTTTTTTGACAGGCAGAGTGGACAGTGAGAGAGAAAGAGAGAAAGGTCTTCCTTTTGCCGTTGGTTCACCCTCCAATGGCCGCCGCAGCTGGTGCGCTGCGGCCGGCGCACCGCGCTGATCTGATGACAGGAGCCAGGTGCTTCTCCTGGTCTCCCATGCAGGTGCAGGGCCCAAGCACTTGGGCCATCCTCCACTGCACTCCCTGGCCACAGCAGAGAGCTGGCCTGGAAGAGGGGCAACTGGGACAGAATCCGGCGCCCCGACCGGGACTAAAACCTGGTGTGCCGGCGCTGCAAGGCGGAGGATTAGCCTAGTGAGCCGCAGCGCCGGCATTATATCTTCTAACTTTAACAGTATTGAGGTGAACATTTGGCCTAGCAGTTAAGACATTGATTAGGATGCCCCTGGTCTCACATCTAAGTGCCAGATTTATTTCCTTGCTCTGGCTTCTGACTCCAGCTTCCAACTAAAATGGACCCTTGGAGGCAGCAGTGGTGGTTCAAGCAATTGGGTCCATGCCATCCATGTGGAAAACCTGGATTGAGGTCCCACCTCCAAGCACTGGTCTTGGCCCAACCCTGGCCAATGCTGGGGGTATTTGGAGAATGAAGCAGCACATAGGAGCTCTCTGTCTCTATTCTCTGCCTCCCAAATAAACATTTTCAAAAATAATAAAACAGTATTAATCTAGAGTAAATTTATGTTATTAGCATTCTATTACATCTATCACCTGGCATTTTCACAAATATTTATTACATATTTGAAATTAATAATAATTTGGATGTTTTAAAAGTATTCAAGGGGCCAATGTCATGGCGTTAACAGGTTAAGCCTTCACCTGCAATGCCAGCATCCCATACGGGCACTGGGTTTGAGTCCTCACTGCTACACTTCTGATCCAGCTCCCTGCTAATGTGCCTGGGAAAGCAGTGGAATGTGGCCCAAATCCTTGGGTCCCTGCACCCATGTGGGAGATAGAATGAAACTCCTGGCTCCTGGCTTCAGCCTGGCCCAGTTCTGGCCATTGTGGCTGTTTGGGGAGTTAATCAGCAGATGGACATTTGCTCTTTTTAAAAAAAAAAAAAAAAAAAAAGACATCTTTATTTATTTGAAAGGCAGAGTCACAGAGAGAAGAGAGAGGAAGAAATAGAGACTGAAGACTTGCTACACCACAGTGCTGGTCCCTAAAAGAACTCTTATCTTCTCCCCTTTCTCTCTCTAATTCAGTCTGTCAAATAAATAAAATGTCTTTCAAAAAATCAAAAATTTTCCAAATCAAAGAACAATAAATTATGTTTAATGTTGTATTTTACATTCAATTTACTTGAAAATCAGTCAACAATTTTGATATACAAAGTGACTCCCAAAGAATGATTATTTTTAATTCATTGTCAGTAATCAGCTCCCAGTCAAGAAGTTACGACAGTCTTTATGATAGGAGAAAAAAAATGACTTCTCAACATTTGACTATCTTAGCCTGCTTTTAAAGTTACTACTATCACTTTATGCATCCTGGTTTCTGCAACTGAAATATGTAAGCAGAATTTTGGGATTAAAATCTGCTTGTTACTCATTGTGAAATACAAACAAAGCTTTTAGGTAAAAACAATAAAATTTTATAAGTATAAATATACATTTAAAGGTTGAATCTTACCGGTTAAAATTTTAATTGCACACTAGATTAGTGAATTTTATATGTAAAATATGCTTTTAACTGGATGCTTTAAAGCTGTTTGTAAGATTAACAGTTTTTAAGAGCTAACATACACATAACAATTCTTCCTAATTTAAAATTCTAATCAGCAAGTGACAAATTTCTTTATCAATCAAACAAAGATTACAAAACACATCTTACCTGTAAACAGTCTCTATGAAACCAAGCATTCTTACAGCAAGGACTTCGTAATATGCTGTAAGTTGGAACAGGCTCAATAAATTCCAAACAAATGGTACATGGTAAAGAGTCTCTATAATTGTTAGATGTAATTATTTGAACAGGTCGATGCTTCCAGCAAAATGACCTAAAAATGTAATTTAAGAATAATATCTAATGAATCGCAAAGCTTAACTAGGTTAGCACTATAATTCATGTATATAAGAGAAAAATTCATTTTTATCTGTCTCATAATTAACCTTCAATAGACAAATAGACAAATAGAGTCTTGGCACTATAAGTCAGTGTCACAATGGATGATCAAGGGGCAATGGGTCTTCAAAATATAAACCTTTGGAGGAGGTAAGACTTATCTCATATAGAATTTAAGATCAAGTTAAGAATTCTATGGGCCGGCGCCATGGCTCAATAGGTAATCCTCCGCCTGCGGCGCCGGCACCCCGGGTTCTAGTCCCGGTCGGGGCGCCGGATTCTGTCCCGGTTGCTCCTCTTCCAGGCCAGCTCTCTGCTGTGGCCAGGGAGTGCAGTGGAGGATGGCTCAAGTGCTTGGGCCCTGCACCCCATGGGAGACCAAGAGAAGCACCTGGCTCCTGCCTTCGGATCAGCGCGGTGCGCCGACCTTAGTGGCCACTGGGGGGTGAACCAATGGAAAAAGAAAGACCTTTCTCTCTGTTTCTCACTGTCCGCTCTGCCTGTCAAGAAAAATTAAGTTAAAATAAAAAATTAAAAAAAAAAAAAAAAAAGAATTCTATGTAACACTATTAGCAACAAAGTATACATACCTTCAACAACCGAGTATATACTTTTTATTCAACATTGAATAAAATTAAAGGAATAAGGAATTTATACTTAAAAAGCACTATAATCCCAACAATAAACTACATATAATAATAACCTATTTCTAGTCCACTTTATTTCTATTTGCATTTTATAAACTGCAGTTTCTTACATTGTGACAATCCAATAAATAGTTTAAGAACCCAAAGACTAAAAAAAATAAAACATGCATGATACAAAATGTCAAATTTTATAAAATCCTGATGTTTAACATCGTATTCAGAAAGCGATATTTTCAGGGACATCCTGGGGTATAATATTTATTTCTTGGGCAAAAAAAAAATGTATATGCCTTTCATTTACTCAGAACTGCATATAGTACTATGGAAGGAAAATGGACAAGTAACACCAAAAAGAGTGGCATGAAAATCCAGAACTACGTAAGGAGAAAAATATGACCAATTTTCTGTGTTATGTCTTACAGCTGAAAGCTGAAAGTGAACACTCATCATTAAGCCTATTCTAGATATGGCTAGTCTCAAAGACTTGGTAGGCTTTTAGAAAAGACCCCATTAAAGCTGGGAATGGGGAATAGGATATTTTATGTATTATTATATATTGTATATGTGCAAACTTTACAAGGAAATTATATCATTGGAATATCCATTTTCTACTTTTTTATAACCATCTTTCATATTTAATAGTTAAATAACTCACGCAAAATTTCCGGTAAACTGGAAAATACACTCTCCCTGAAGTCCACATGGGAAATGATAACTCCGTTTACATCGAGGTGCAACACATCCAATTGAAGCACCAGTTTTCTTGCAAACACAGCATTTCTAGAGGAAATTATGAAAACAGGGAACAGGCACACAAAATTTAAGTACTATAATAAGACCAAGATTAAAAATGGATATTCCTCATGGGGAGTGTCTAAAAATTATTTTCATCATTAAATAACTGTGATGACAGAAATTTCCTGAAAAAAAAATGTTCTACCCAGAAACAATTGGAAAACACTAGGATTCTTTTTCTTCCTACTTGTGAAAATATTTTAAACTGAAAGATTTTAAAAACATAATGGTTATACATGCAAGCCATACTGAAATCTCAACAGAAAGCACAAAGGATAGAAAACAGTAACAGGAAAACAATATTATAAACCAGTCTGTAAAAAACTGGCCAAGACTACTGTACCATAACAAAGTGAGTAAGTATAAGATACTTATAGAGTACTGAATTCTGGTCCCCAGAAAGCTACATTCAAGTCCTAACTCCCAGTACCTATGAATTGAATGGGAAATAAGATCTTTGCAGCCATAATCAAGTTAAAGATCTTAGGATAATATCACTCTTTCAAGGACACTGCTGTCTGTCCTTAAAAGAGAAAACAAAAGATTTAAGACACACACAAGAGCTAGCTAGTATTGTGGCACAGTTAAGCCACTGCCTGCAATACTGGCATTCCACATGAGCTCTGCTTTGAGTCCAGGCTATTCCACTTCCCAGTCAGCTCCTTGGTAATGCACCCGGGAAAGCAATAGCAGCCCAACTACTTGGGCCCCTGCCACCTATGTGGGATACTCAGACACAATTCCAGGCTCCTGACTTCAGCTTAGCCCAACCCTAGCCATTGTGGCCATTTGGGGAGTGAACCAGCTGATGGAAGATCTTTCCCTCTCTGTTTGTAACTTTGCTTTTCAAACAAATAAAGCTTTTTTTTTTTTTTAAAGGAAGAAGTAAAAATTGGAATGCTTCAGAATTAAAGAGTGGAGCTATGATCATTAGAATGGGTGAAATGATGGATAGGTTGGAATACAATAAGGAAGTGAAGTTACATGTATTATCCAGGGTCAGTGTAGCTCTCATTCATTTGCAAAAATATAAAATATTCTACTAACATTAATCACATTTGACAAAAATATGCATTAGAACATATTTCTGTTACAGAAACTGATGAAAAGGACTTCCTCATTATTGATAATTCTTAGATACTTAGTTTAGTAAGAAAAATAATTTACTTACCAGTTTGGAAGCTCTATTTACTTCCTTCCTGATGTCTTCTATTAGAAAACCATACACTCCTTCTTCTTCTTTACCTCTCTGCCAAATTCCACTTGACATTAACTATAAATATATTTTCCATTAGAAAGCAAACCCTTTTAAGAAACTAGATTATATTAAAAATATGAATTCATATCACTTCAATAAAAATGGATATAAAATGACTCAAAGCTCAAGCAACTATCTGTAATATTTATCTCTCATGAAGAAAGATAGAAGCTACTCATAGCATTTGATTTGGAAGATACTACATTAACAATTCATATCTCCAAACTAGTTTCTAAAAGTATTTGAAGTAGAGATAGAAGGTAGTAAGTAATTGAATTGGGTAGGAAGATGAGAAAGGAGGGAAAGAAATACCTATGATTAAGCTTTAGAAAAAAGGAGTAGAAAGTAGTAGCGAGCTATAAATACAACAATAATAAATACTATAGAGACAATTCAGACCATTTGTGTCCTTTTAGGCTAACTTTAGATCTAGCTGAGGGGGTGCGCATTTGGTGCAGTGGTTAAGTCACTGCTTGTGATGCCCATAGCCCTTACTGGAGTTCTTAGTCTTAGTCTTGCCTACTGTTCATTTTATTTTATTTATTTTATTGTATTTATTTATTTTTTTAAAGATTTATTTGTTTATTTGAAAGTCGCAGTTACACAGAGAGGAGAGGCAGAGAGAGAGAGAGGTCTTCCATCTGATAGTTCACTCCCCAGATGGCTGCAATGGCCAGAGCTGCACCGATCCAAAGCCAGGAGCTTCCTCTGGGTCTCCCACATGGGTGCAGGGGCCTAAGGACTTGGGCCATCTTCTACTGCTTTCTCAGGCCACAGCAGAGAGCTGAATTGGAAGTGGAGCAGCTGGGTCCCAAACTGGCACCCATATGGGAACTTTAGGTCAGGGCGTTAACCCACTGCTCCACAGCACTGTCCCCTTTGTTTATTTATTTATTTTTTTAAAGATTTGCCTTTCAAAATGAATAATAACAAATAAAAGAATAATTCATTAAAACATCAAATGTAGCCAAATTCTGAATCATAAAAGATCTATTTTATAGGGAAACCTATTGAATCCAAGTTAATGTCTCAATTTAAAAAAATTTCATCAACTTCATAGTTTAATGTTCAGGCAGCATGAACTAAGAAAAAGTATAGGCTGAATAATAAATCTTGTCCTGGGGCTCGTGTTATGGCACAATCAGTTAAGTTGCTGATTGTAACACTAGCATCCCTTACTGGGTTCAAGTCCTGGCTGCTCTGCTTCCTATCCAGCTCGCTGCTAATGAACCTGGGGAAGCAATGGAAGATGGCCCAAATATCTGCATCCCTGCCACTCACGTGGGTGACCTGGATGGAGTTCTGGGCTCCTGGCTTTGGCCTGACTCAATCCTGGCTGTTGTCACCCTTTGGGAAGTGAATCACAGAATGGAAGATCTCTTTCTCTCTCTTCCCCCTTTTCTCCCTGTCACTCTGCCTTTCAAGTAAATAAAATTAATCTTTAAAAAAGAAATAAAACTTGTCCTTCAAAGAGGACTCTGTGCCTAAACTTCTGGAATCCTAATCAAGTAATATAATGTCTCTGACCTTAAACATGAAAATAAGAACATTGAACTAGATTGTCTCTTCAGTCTGTCTCAACTCTAGTATTCTATTACCACTTGTAATATATACCATTATTATACTTTCCTATTTATAAGGAAAAAGAATCTTAAAAGGGATCAGTACATTTCTTTTTTATTATGCTCATTAATAAAATAAGGAAGAATATTAGGAAAATTCTGTTATGTTCAACTCAAACACATTAAAAAACTCAAAAATACTTCAAAAAAACAAATTTGTGATTTTTAAGCAGTATTATACTAAAAGAAAAACAAAAATTATGTATCACTTGAGTTAGTTATGAAACAATAACCCACTGACTAGTAAAACAGCGTAGCTCACCTAATTCTACTGCATAAAAATTAAACTTTTAGAAAAGTTTCTTTTCTGAAAAGACTTTTTGTATTTCAGAAAGTAATACATCCCAATTAGAAGCATTTAGAATGTCAAATTCATGTTCCCTTAATCAATGGTATAAGTCTATTTCTTCTAGAGCACCTGTGGGCACAAAAGTACTCTTAGCAAGCTATCAAGGAACACTCTGGATTTTTATTTTTTAAGGAGTTATAGAAGGAATTTTAACATAGATGGTGGTAGGTTTAAAAATATGTTCACATGGGGGTCACTTAGCCTACTGGTTAAGATGTACACATCCCATACTGATATGGTTGGGTTCAATACCTAGCTCCAGCTTCCTGCTAATATAGATCTTGGAATGCAGCAGGTGATGGCTCAAGGAATTAGGTCTCTCATCCATGTGAGATACTTGAATTGGGTTTCTAGCTCCTGGCTTTTGTCCCTGGGAGTGAACTACAGGATGGGAACTGCTTTTCTCTCTCTCTCCTTCTCTCTCTCAAATAAATAAGTAAACAAAAGTATGTCCACAGATTTGTTGACAGGGGCTGGCACTGTGGCATAGCAGGTAGTCATCACCAACAACACCGGCATCCCATATGGGTGCCAGTTCGAGTCTCAGCTGCTTCATTTCCAATCTGGCTCCCTGCTAAATGTGTGTGGGAATGCAGTGGAAGATAGCCCAATTTCTTGGGCTCTTGCACTCACACAGGAAACCTAGAAGATCCTGCCTCCTGGCTTCAGCCTGGCTCAGCCCTGGCCATTACAGCCATTTAGGAAGCAATCAGGCAGATATAAGACCTCTCTTTCTGCCTCTCCCTCTCCTTCTCTTAGCTCTGACTTTCAAATAACATAAATAAATTTTTAAAAACTTTTGTTGATATTCTTTCCTTTAAGAGATGGAGTTTAATTTCCCTAACCTTGACTGTGGGCTACACTTACTTACTTCTAACAAACAGATGAAAGCAAAAGTGACAATGGTGTGTTCTGTGAACACTACATCAAATGGTTCTATCTGATGTGTGTGTGTGTGTGTGTGTGTGTGTGTGTGTGTGTCTGATCACCTGCTTTGAGGAAGCAAGATGCCATGCTATGAGCAGCCCTACTAAGAAAGAGTTCAAGAAACCAAGACATCCTGTCAATAGATAGGAGGAACAGTGGCTAAAGCCATGCAAATAAGCCACCACAGGCTGGGCTCTTCCAGCTCAGTAAAGCCTTCAGATGAAATCTGGTGACATCTTGTTCTCACGGGTTACTCTGAGCCAGTTACTCAGCTAAGCTGATAATAGAGTGCTAACCCTCAGAAAGTATGTCAGAGAATAAATGCTGTTTAAGTGCTAAATTTTACAATGATATGTTAAGCAGTAATGGACAACAGTGTCATAAAACATTGTGCATACCTATTCATCCTTGACATGCTACTGTAGTGATGATGCCACTAATACCTTTAGGCATAGATTCAATGAAGTGAAAGATGAAGACAAAGGGGAACAAATGATGGATGAATTCTCAGTTAGAAATTACTTTTGGGGCTGGCGCTGTGGCATAGAGGGTAAGTCCGCTGCCTGCAGTGCCAGCATCCCATGTGGGTACCAGTTCGTGTCCCAGCTTCTCCACTTCCAATCCAGCTCTCTGCTGTGGCCTGGGAAAGCAATGGAGGATGGCCCAAGACCTTGGGCCCCTGCACCAGTGTGGAGACCTGGAGGAAGCTCCTGACTCCTGGCTTCGGATCAGTGCAGCTCCCTCCAACCCTGCTGTGGCCATTTGGGGAGTGAGCTAGTGGATGGAAGACCTCTCTCTTTTTCTCTCTGCCTCTCCTTCTCTCTGTGTCTAATTCTTTCAAATAAATAAATAAATAAATAAATCACTCATAAATTAAATTGTTTCCTTTTCCACAAATATTTACTTCCTTTAGCCAGAATTTTTCTTTTTGGGCTTTCTGTGAAATAAAATACTTCTCTTCTACTCCCTGAACCCTCAAACAAGTCTTTTTTGAGATTTGTCACTAGCAACAAAGGAAATAAGAAAGTGGGAAAAAGAACACCTCCTTTATGGACCTAATCATTTTCTCCTTTTTTCTTTCATTAAACCCCTAAATGGTTAGACAAAAACAAACAGGTTATGACAATAACTCTGTATATGTATCAAGTACTTTCAGAATCTTAGAATATGATTTCTCAAAAATTCTATTTTTACACACAGGCAAAACAAGATCCAGAGAAGTTAAAAGACATCTAATTTTCAAAAATTAGTAGCAGTATCTAATTTTCTTTACAACAGTAACTCTCCAGAATTTAATTATAAATTATACTCACCAAACAATAGTAATGTACAGTGAGATTCCACTTCTCATTAGTTTTCTTTTCTCCATACTTACTAGGACAGTCATCATTTTTTCGACAGAAAACACAAGCTAACAGTGAAAAAATAAGGACAAAAAACATTTAATTTAAAAAAAACTATGGAATTGGTGTTTCTCTTAATTGATGCATTAAATCATTTCTGAGACAGCAAATCACATTATACTGTTATTGGTAACTTAAAATTTCCAGTACCTATTTCTAACACTTTAATGTGACTTTACTTTTTTCCATCAGTTTTTAATGATTAATTCCATTATGTGGTTAAAATGGCAACCTCTGAGATTAACACCAAAGAAAATGATGGATTAGGAACTCCAAAACTCCATTCTTCTAAAGCAATGATTAAGCTGCCAAAAACTGTCAGAATCAATTTTTTACAAGTTCTGCAATCGAATAAACTTATAAAAATTAAGGTAATGCTTAATGAAGAGACAAGCTGCCAAATTTTGATGACAGCATTTTAATTTATCTAACTATCTAACTTAACTAATATGGTCTAATTCTAGATACAGATTGCTGGTCAACAGGAAGTAATACGGACGTTTTTCTCAAAAGTGATTCTGAGTGGTTCCCTGAGGGATGGGCTAAAGTGCTTGTCTTCATTTCACTTAGCTCTGAACTTTCTCAGGGTTAAAACAAGTACTAGCATACTTCAAACAGTTCATGAAAAAAATGGAAATTAAAATCTATGCAAAGTTTTTTCATAATATGCATTATATTATCTTTTGATAACTCCTTGTGTTTATAAATTTCAGAAAAAAATTTAATAAAAGCAAACATCTTTTAACTCTATTTTCTAATAACTTTTTGAAGTACTGTCATAACTAGATGGGAGTGGCTTGGGGCAACAGAAAACAGTCAGAGAAAGCAGCTGATGGACCAAAAAGCCTAGGAAAGAAAATGCTAGAGAAAACAAATACTTGGGGAAATAAGGGCTTTGAAAAACTTCCACATATACTACATAACATAGGAAGGCCTGGAGATGTTTCCAAGGATGTATGCATGCTCAGAAAAGATAAGGGAATCTCTAAATTTTTATTGAGGTTAGGCTCATGAAAACTTTCATTAAAAAGATTGCAGGGCTGATGCTGTGGTATAGTGGGTTAAGCCGCCACCCAGGGTGCTGGCATCCCATATGGGTGCCAGTCCTGGCTGCTCCACTTGCGATGCCTGGGAAAGCAGAAGATGGCCCAAGTGCCTGAGCCCCTGCATCCACATGGGAGACCCAGAAGAAGCTCATAGCTCCTGGCTTCATCAGATCAGCCCAATTTGTGCCTATTTGGGGAGTGAACCAGCAGTTGGAAGATCGATCTCTCTCTTTCTCTCTCTCTCTGTAACTCTGCCTTTCAAATAAATAAATAAATCTTTAAAAAAAATGAGATCCCAAATCAATAACCTGATTTTATACCTTAACAAGTTGGGGTTGGGGGAGAGAGAGGAAACTAAACCAAAATTAGCATAAAAAAAGGAAAAAAGAAAGATTAGATAGAGCAGACAAAACCAAAATAAGATTATCAAACAATTAAGAGAATCAATAAAAACAAAACTTGATTTTTTGAAAGACCCACAAAAAATCAGTAAAACTTTGGCTAGACTCACCAAGAAAAGGAGAAAAGATTAGAACAACAAAGCTACAGTAGTCAACAGTATGGATTTGCAGAGGTACAGACACACAAAACAATGGAAAAGAATCCAAAATAAACCCATACAACTATGGTCAACTGATTTTTGACAAGGGTACCAAGACTATTCCATGGGAAAAGATACAACTAGATAGCTATATGCAAAAGAATAAAGTTGAACTCATGTCTCACATCATACACAAAAATTAATTCAAAACAGATCAAGGGGCTTTTATCTAAAAGGCAAAACTATAAAATTCTTAGAAGAAAATATTGGATTTGGCAATAAAAATTTATATAACAATTTATATAACACCAAAGGCTAAACAACAACAACAACAAAAAGATAAATTGAGCTTTGTCAAAATTTTAAACTTTTGTGCCTCAAAGGACACTATCAGTAGAGTAAAAAGACACTCTACAGAATGGAAGAAAATATTGGGAAACTCTTTCCTGACAAAGGCATAGGAACCAGAATATGTAAGAAACCCTTTACAACTCAAGAACAAAAACAATCCAATTTAAAACCAGACAAAAGATCAAAATATACATTTCTCCAAAGATACAAAAACAGTCACTAAGTACATTAAATAATGCTTAATATCATTTGTCATCAGCCAACAGGAAAATGCAATTTAAACCACAATGGAACACTGCTTCATACCCACAAGGATAGCTATACTCAAAATGTCAGATAATAACAAGTTGGCAAGGACCCAGACAAATTAAAACCCTCATACACTACTACTAGAAATGGAAAATGATGTAGTCACTTTGTTTCTCAGAAAGTTAAACATGGAGTTTCTTTCTTTCTTTTTTTTTTTTTTTTTTTGTTGACAGGCAGAGTGGACAGTGAGAGAGAAAGGTCTTCCTTTTGCCATTGGTTCACCCTCCAACGGCCGCTGCGGCCGGCGCATCGCACTGATCTGAAGCCAGGTGCTTCCTGGTCTCCCATGGGGTGCAGGGCCCAAGCACCTGGGCCATCCTCCACTGCACTCCCGGGCCATAGCAGAGAGCTGGCCTGGAAGAGGGGCAACTGGGACAGAATCCGGCGCCCCAACCGGGACTAGAACCTGGTGTGCTGGCGCTGCAAGGCGGAGGATTAGCCTAGTGAGCCACGGCGCCGGCCCTAAACATGGAGTTTCATCAGTTTCTCAGAAAGTTACAAACAGTTACCAAGTGATTCTACTGTAGCCAAAGAAATGAAGAGATTGTCAAATACTTTCACACTAATAATGCTCACTAGTAGCACTGTTTACAAAGTACAATCAAACCAAATGTTATTCAACAGGTGGATAAATGGATAAACAAAATATGGCATATATCCATACAATAGAATACTATTTAGCAACAGAAAGGAATAAAGTACTGAAACATGCTACAACATGGATAAGAAGCATTATGCTAAGAGAAAGAAGTCAAGCACAAAAGGCTACATTATTGAATGATTCAATTTACATATGGATTAGATTTTCTAGAATAGGTGACTCTAGAGATAGACAAAAAGCAGATTAGTGGTTGCCAGGTGCTAAAGACAAGGTGACTGCCTAGTGAGTAGAGAGTATGCTTTGGGGTTGATAAAATTTTTTTAAACTAAATAATGGTGACGGTTTCATGAATTGTGAACATACTAAATGCCAACAAATTGTATATTTTGAAATGACTATGATGGTGCTTTTTATTTATGTGTATTTTACTACACATATATACACATACACACAAAAAATAAATGACTTGCAGAGTCAGGGTCATGTTGAGACTTAATTCCACACTTTTTTGTCTTTGTACACATTTATGGTGTACAAATGATGTTTTGAAATATGTACATATTGTAGAATGGCTAAATAGAGCTAATTATGTGTGTAACTTTGTATCTTATATTTACGGTAAGAACACTTAAAGTCTTTCCTCTTACTGATTTTCAAGTATACAGTAAGTACACTATTATTAACTATACTCACCATGTTATACAATAGAGCACATAAATTTATTTCTTCTAAATGAAATCTTGCGTTTTTTGTCTATGATCTTTACCTTGCCCTTCAACTCCAGGCCCTGGTAACTACTATTCTTTTTTTTTTTTTTTTTTTTTTAAAAAAGATTTCTTTATTTACTTGGAAGTCAGAGTTACACAGAGAGAGGAGAGGCAGAAAGAGAGGTCTTCCATCAGCTGGTTCACTCCCCAGTTGGCCGCAATGGCTGGAGCTGTGCCAATCTGAAGCCAGGAGCCAGGAGCTTTTCCCAGGTCTCCTACATGGGTACAAGGGCCCAAGGACTTGGGCCATCTTCTACTGCTTTCCCAGGCCATAGCAGAGAGCTGGATTGAAAGTGGAGCAGCCGGGACTTGAACCGGCACCCATATGGGATGCTGGAACTGCAGGCGGCAAATTTATCTGCTACACCTTTGTGCTGCTTTATGAGTTCTATTTTTTTAAGATTCCATATCTGGGGGCTGGTGCTGTAGTGTAGTGGGCTAAGCCTCTGCCTGTGGTGCCAGAATCCCATATGGATGATTGTTCATGTCTCAGCTGCTCTTCTCTGGATCCAGCTTTCTTCCTATAGCCTGGGAAAGCAGTGGAAGATGGCCCATGTGCTTGGGCCTCTGCATCAATGTGGGAGATCCAGAAGAAGCTCCTGCTTCCTGGCTTTGGATTGGCTCAGCTCTGGCCCTTGCAGCAATTTGGGGAATGAACTAGTGGATGGAAAACTTTCTCTCTCCCCTTCTCTTTGTAATGCTCTCTCTCAAATAAATAAAAACTTCAAAAAAATTTCCATCTTTCTTTCCACTATCTTTCTTTATGTGCTTGGTTTATTTCACTAGTACTCTATGATTGAATTTCCTCATCTTCAAAACTGAGGACAGGAGCCTCAAAAATGAAGCCAGGAGGCCTGTTGCACAGCAGGTTAAGCCATACTTGGGACATCAACATGCCATACTGTAGTGTCCTTTGGGTACCAGCTAATGCACCAGGGAAGGCTGTGGACATGGCCCAAGTACTTGGCTTCCTGACTCCCATGTGGGGGACAGGATAGAATTCCTTGTTCCTGGCTCCAGCCTGGCCCAGACCCGGCTACTGCAGCCATTTGAGAAGTGAACTACCAAGATGGAAGATCTCTGTCACTCTGCCTTTCAAATAAATAAATAAATACTTTTAAAAAAATCTCTAAAAAAAAAAAAAAATTGAATACAACAGCAGAACTTACTTGAGATAGTAAACATTAATATAATTAACAAGGTGTGCGTGACACAAAAAGCATTATATTTGTTAACAGCCTGCACACAAAATAGACTTCAGAACTGGGAAGATATTGTTCATATTTAATACTGTGACATACCCTCAGTATACTGCCCTTCTCCACTCCAGCTTAGAAGTCATAACTCAAAGTCCCTCCTCTAGCTCCTTAAAAGGTTTCAGCTTCCCATCTTTCCTTATGAGAAGGAGTTGTCCAAATTAATATCAGTAAATTGCCAAAATTTATTCACACTGGACATTTTACACCAGCTGTTCCTATCTTAACTCCTTCATCCTAGTAGCTACACTTTCAGCTGTAAGCATGCATGCTGCTATCCAGAGGAAGTAGAAAACACAGAATTAGCTGAGACTAAAAGAGAAAAGGAGTCCTTGTGAACTAGCTGAGATTTCAGAAAAGCGGCAGACCTCATGACAAACTCTGGATGGAAGTACATCTGCTATAGGTTGTAGACTTGCGACTTTTGTTCCCATCTCTCTTGCCTCTCTTTACAGAACAGACTAGGCTTCATGCATGCATTTTTATAGAGTACTTTTGTATATATTTCTGCTTTGCCATTTTTAACTTTAATGTTTATACAACTCAGTAAAATTGTTTTGACTTTATTATATTTATTATCTTCTTTAACAATGACTACCTTCTATCACAGTAACAAAATAAACACATTCATGTAAGAAAAAAACAGAGTCAATCTTGGGAAAAATATCAAGTAAATAAGAATAAGGGTATATTTGCATTTAGCAAATGCATAAAGTTCACAGATCACTAAAATTTTAGAACCATTTACAAAGCTGATACAAGTCTGGAGGCAGAAGCAAGAAAATGGAGGGTTATAGGACCACATTTTTTTCTTTTCAAAAGAGTTATTTATTTGAAAGGCAGAGTGATGCAGTAAGAGAGATGGATCATCTTCCACCTGCTAGTTTATTCCCAAATGGCCACAACAGAAAGCACCTTGCCAGCCTGAAGCCAGGATCAAGGAATTCCATCTCTGTCTCCTATGAGGTTGACAGGGCCCAAGTACTTGTGCCATCCTCCACTGCCTTCCCAGTGAATTAGCAGGAAACAGGATCAGAGTAGCCAGGACTCTAACTGGCATTCTGATATGAGATGCTGGCACTGCAGGTAGCAGCTTAACCCACCATGCCACAACACTGGCCCCAAGAACAAGTTTTCTTATCCAACATAATGCAGAGCCAACAAATAATCTCTGAAAATGTAGGTTAAGTATAGTAATTTAATTTTAAAAGGAATTTTAAAAGATCTTTAAAAACTGGAGGAGGGACAAGTAGTAGTAGTAAAAGACTATACGGTAGCCATTTAAATTCCTCATTTTTCATGGTAGCAAATCAACTGATATTCTTCATAACAAATAAAGAACACAAAAATAAATACAGAGGTCAAAAGGACTGCATCTAGGGATGGACTATTAGCCTAACAGTAAAGACATCTGTGTCCTATATTGAAGTGCCTGGGTTCAATATCTGTTTCTGCTCCCGACTCCAGCTTTCTGCTAGCACAGAACCTGGAAGGCAGTGTTGATGGCTAAAGTAACCAGAATCCTGCCACTCATGTGGATCTGGGTTCTGGCTGCTAGCTTTGGACTGAAATGATCTCAGCCATTGTAGGAATTTGGAGAATGAGCCAGAGGGTGGGAGTACCCTCTCTCTCCTCTATCTCTGTGTCTCTGCCTCTCAAATTAAAAAAAAAAAAAAAAAAAAATTCTCATTTTTTTAAAAAAGGGCAGTATCTTTATTGGGAGATTGTTATGAGCACATAAGTTTTCCTTTTTATGTTAAACTTCTGTATATTGTTTAAATTGTTCTCTCCTGCAGTTTTCCTGTTGTAAAGAAAAGTCATTAAAAAAGTGAAAAAATGTTTATTAAATAAATAATATTGTTCTATTCAGATAAAAACTAATAAATTTGTCCTCTATGATAGCACATTTTTGTTGATGTGAATACATACAATTATACTTTGCTACATGTACAAACGAACTACGCATATCTTAGGGAATTCATTTCTATTCTTTGAATAGCTTTCTAAAAAGATCTATTAGAATGAAAATATTTTAAATTGTTACTTACCAAGGTTCCGTGAGTCATCCGGTTTATTTTCATTCATTTTACTAGGAAAAATAAGAACACATCAATACAGTCATCTTAACTGTAAAAGTTTCAAATTATCCATTTTAATTAAACTTAATCAATGTATAATTACAAAAAGTCACATAATCATTTATTATTCTACAGTACTAATTTCCTCAGCTTGCACACATCTAAAACCAGTAGTTCTCAACAAGGTGGTAGAAACTGGGAACTTATTTAAAATAGGAGGGAATGTTTTTTAGTCAATAAAACAATTGAGATGTTTACTGGTAGTGGAAAAGGGGCTAGGATTGCAGTACATTCTGCAATCACCAACAAATTCTACACACTTGCATAGACAAATGGTCTAGATTTTCACCTATCCTTCTGGACATTCAAGTTAAAAAAAAAAAACCTACTTATAATTATATTAACATAGAATGTAAAAGTCCAATTTACATATAAAATCAAGTCTCTCTTATCTTGCTATGGGTATTTCTAGAACTACAACTCCCATGTAAATCAGGGAATTTATATTTAATTTTTGCTCAACACTTCACTAAGAATTTTTCATCATTTAAAGAAAAAAAAAATCAGGGACCAGCATTGTGGCACAGCACGTTAAGCCACCACTTGTTACACTTGGCAACCCCTATCAGAGGGTGCCAAGTCCACCCTGTTCAACTTCCAAGACAGCTTCCTGCTGTCATCCATATGGGAGACGCAGATAAAAGTCCTCAGCTCTTAGCTTAGCCTGGCTCAGAGCTAGGTTTTAGGGTCATTTGGAGAGTGAACCAATGAATGGAAAGATACCTCTCTTCTCCTACCCTGGCCCCTGTTTCTCTGTTGCTCTGCCTTTCAAATACATAAATAAATAAATAAATAAATAAATAAATAAATAAATCTTAAAAAGAGGGAGGACCACATCATCAACAGCAATGTCACTCATATTTGAGTAGCCTATAAATTTGTCCTTGATTATTCTATATTTGTTGCTGTTGCATTTGCAGAGATTCTACATAGAGTTGCAAGCATCGCACTGCCCTATTATATATCTTTTTTTATCTGTTAAAGATTTATTTATTTTATTTCAAAGGCAGAGTTACAGAGAGGCTGAAGCACAGAGAAAGAGAGAGAGTTCCTCCATCCACTGGTCCACTCCCCAGATGACTGCAATGGTTGGAGCTGTGCCGATCTGAAGCCAGGAGCCTGCACACGGGTGCAGGGGCCCAAGGACGTGGGCCAACTTCCACTGCTCTCAGACCACAGCAGAGAGCTTGATCAGAAGCAGAGCATCCAGGACCATATGGGATGCTGGCACCACAGGCGGCGGCTCTACCCGCTACGCCACAGCACCGACTCCCACCATATTACATCTTGTAGTACAGATCTGTCCCCATTTCCTCACTCATTACTTTCTGATATATCAAAAAGAGGAAGAAAACATCTTAGTATCTCCATAGTTTCACTTTACTAGGAGTATATGAAGAGTGTACCCTAAATGCATTAATGAGACTCAAGTATAATAAAGTATATGGAAGCTCTTAGAGTTTAAGTGGAAAAGAACAAAGGGTAACACTAGGAGATCAATGTCATTATATAACTGCAAAACTAAAGTTCAGAAGTATTAATGACCTGTCTAAGTTTACAGAACTAGTAAGTCTGACTAGACTAAGACTATAATTGATTGACTACAGTATATACTATGCCACTTTGATGAAAATAATGAAAAAAATACTACAAAATACAGTATTAAATATCAAAGAAAGGCCCAAAACTATAAACAATGATTACTACCAAATGATTACTACCAAATTTCATGCAACCTGGGGCTGGTGTTGTGGCATAGTGGGTAAAGCAACCACCTGTGATGCCAGCATCCCAAGTGGGTGTCAGTTCAAATCCTGGCTGCTCTTTGCTAATGTGCCTGAGAAAGCAGCAGAGTGCTTGGGCTCCTGCACCGCAGGGGGAAAACAGAAGTAGCTCCTGGCTTCAGACTGGCCCAGCCTCAACTGTTGTGTCCATTTGGGGAGTGAACCAGCAGATGGAAGATTTTTCTCTCTCTGCGTCTCTCTCTAACTCTGCCTTTCACGTAAATAAATAAATCTTAAAAAATTTTTTTATCCAACCTATGATGTCATAAAATGTACTCCAAAATCTACAATGTTATGAAGACTCAAACTTATGATGTATTCTTACAATTTAGAATCTGTATTTCCTCTTATTGGAACTATTTTGGATTTAAACATGGATATGCTCATATAACACTTTTGTGCTTTCATAAAACGTCAGTCTCTTGAAATCACTGATTCCAAGAATTCAATATTTTCTTGTTTCTCCTTACAAAATTACCTTTAATGCAATCAAGATTAATACTTCTTGAGAGTCCATTAAAACAATTAAAGAGACCAGTTTTAAGTAGGCTTTGCAATGCAATTAAATATAGCCTAACTCTTCTACCCTGTATCTACAACTATTAATATAGGATTAAAGGAATACTTTATTGTCTTCTGAATGTTTCTTCTTTTTTCTCTTTGTAAAGAGATATTGATAATACTATAAGGTATAAGATGGTATTTCTTAAAAAAGATTTTATTGAATATTCTACATGAAGGATCTCTGTGAGTGAGATCCCAGTGGAAAGAAGTGGCCATTAAAGAAGAATGTACTTTTCTCTAAAGGGAGGAGAGAACTTCCACTTTGTTGATGGTCTTGTCTAAATACTGATGCAGTTTGTGGATTCAAAAGGCTTCCATAGCCTAGGCAGCTCATGTCAAAGAGCCTTGGATGATCACCGAAATCATACATAAGAGTGTTAATTGTTAAATTAACAACAGGAGTTACTGTGCACTAACTCCCCATGTGGGACCTCTGTCCTCAATGAATTGTATTGAGAGTTAAATGTGATACTTGTTCTCAAACAGCTTTGTGTGTGTGTGTGTGCATGTATGTGTAAATCATTGTAATCTTTACTTAGTACAGAGTTGGTTTTCTGTGTACAAAGTTAACTAAAAATGAATCTTTATGGAGAATGGGACTGGGGAGAAGGAGGAGGAGGAGAGGTGGGAGTGTGGGTGGGAGGGTGGGTACGGTGGGAAGAACTATTCCTGAAGTTATATGTAAGAAATTTGTATTCCTTAAAAATAAATTAATTAAAAAAGATTTTATTTATTTGAAAGGCAGAGTTACAGAGAGAGAGAGAGTGAAAGAGAAAAATGGAGACAGAGAACTCTTTGTCCAATGCCTCACTCCCCAAGAGGCCACAATGGATGGGGCTAGGCCAGTCTGAAGCCAGGAGCCAAGAACTTCATCTATGTCTCCCATGTGGGTGGCAGGGGCCCAAGCACTTGGGGCCATCTTCAACTGCCTTCCCAGACAGACATATCTGCAGCAAGCTGAATTGGAAGCAGAGCAGCCTAGACTCGAACAGGCACCAAACCCTACGGAATGCTGGCAGCTGGGACGGTGGCTTGACCTGCTATGCCACAGCAACAGCCTGCACTTTTTTTAATTTTAAAGACTTTTTTATTTGAAAGTCAGAGTTACAGAAAGAGGAAGATACAGAAAGAGATCTATCAACTGATTCACTCCCCAGATGGCTGCAATAGTCGTGACTGGGCCAGGTCAAAGCCAGGAGCCAGGAGCTTCTTCAGGGTCTCCATGTGGGTAGCAGGGGCCCAAACACTTGAGCTATCTTCCACTGCTTTTCCTAGGCCATTTTCAGGGAGTGAACCTATAGTGAAGCAGCCAGGACATGAACCAGTGCCTACATGGGATACCAGCATCACAGGCCAAAACCCCGTCCCCGTGATGGTACTTCTAAATTTTATACCTGCTCATACAATTACTACGGATTATCCTAACTGGTCAAATTGACCTTAAATGTGTTAAAAGTAATATGTGCATTTGTTATGGTCATGGTTGGAGGATGCATTTTAAATCTGATGAAATACAATAAACGGGATAAAATTTCTTTTATTAGGACTTCTCTATAATTCAACCTTTGATGAATTTAGCATATCATAAATCTGATCATGCACATGATTTTATTGCAGAAAGTTCCATAAACACCACAAAATAAGAACTTCACTTGAGTAAACATAAAAATTTTCATTTAGATATTATGTTCTTAGTATCCAACAACACAGATTTATATGTAAAATCCCATCTGCTTAGTTTATATTCCTTATTTTATCCCTTCTAAGGATAAACTTCAGTTATCTACTGGTTACTTTTAGGTATTATAATACAGAATAGTGACTGAGGTACATAATACAAGCAACTTTTGTAAAATCCCCTTGTCATTCAGTGAAGTACAAGTAAAAATTTGCTGAATGCGACAGATACATATGCTAAAGCTACTGATACGACTATATAATGATTCTTTAATTACTTTTCTTTATGAAGAAATCTCAATTTCTAGGGCCAACACTGTGGCACAACAGGTAAACCACCACTTGCAATGTGGACATCCCATATCAGAGTGCCAGCAGGATCCCAACCACAGCCAGCTCCCAGCTAACATGCCTGGGAAGGCAATGGAAGATGGCCTAAGTGTGGGGCCCTTGTCACCCAAGTGAGAGACAAGATGGAGTTCCTGGCTCCCAGCTTCTGCACTGTCCCGACCTGGCTATTAAAACCATTTGGAGCATGAAGCAGCAGATGAAAGATCTATGTGTATATGTTTGTTTATGTGTGTGTGTGTGTCGCTCTGCCTTTCAAACAAATAAATTAAAAAAAAAAAATCCCAGTTTCTGTATGGGTACATCATCTACTTTTCCCTTTTATGCTGTATAAAGATTCAATGAGTCTCTTGGTGAATATTGTGATGGTCTGTCTAGATCTTTATAATACATATAAAAAAAACCTGTTAACGTCAAAAAAGGCATTTGAAGTTTCTTGTTAATTACTAAGCTAGGTTTTTTTTCTATGTATGTCAGTATAAAGTATATATATATATACTTTATATGATATATATGTATATATAAGTATATATATACTCTGTCATATAAAGTATAATGAACACTTTATATGGTTTTCCAAAGTTTGTTTACATACAATATATGCCAATAGAATCCAGTGACAAACCCACATCTAATCACCTGATTTTTCAATGAAGGCAGCAAAGCTATTCAATGAGAGAAAATAAAATCTTTTCAACAAATGCTGATAGAAAAACAGGATATCCATATGGAAATTAAGGAAATTCTGCCCCATACTTCTCATCATAATCAAAATTAATCTCATATGGATCAAAGACCTAAATGTAAAAATTAAAATCACAAAAATTGTAAAAGAAAACATAGACTCATTACTTGGGGACAGGCAAAAGTTTCTCATGACACAGCTGGCATTTAACTCATTAAAGAAAAAATGAATTGTATTTCATCAAAATTAAGTTTTCACTCATCAACCCATTAGGAAAGTGAATATGTGTGCTACAGATAGGAATATTTATAAGTAAAGTATCTGATAGGGATTTGTATCCTGAATACATATAAAAAAAACTTTCACTTCAATAATATAAAGGTAAATATTCCAATAAAGAAACATGAAAGAAATGAACATATACTTTACAAAATAAGATATAAATGGCACATAAACACATGAAAAAACATTCAACATCACTAGTAATTAAACCACTATGAAAGACCAGTTCTCACCCATAATCATATTAAAAAGACAACCTATTTAGGGAAAGATAGGAAACTAAATGGAAAAACCAATTTTTAAAGTTTTGGCAGTCTCTTAGAAGTTAAGCATATAGCCTTGCACCTACCCTTTGATTCAGGAATTTAACTACTCATCCAAGAGAAAGAAACACATGAACGTAGAAAATTTTCCACAAAAATGTTTTTGGCAGCCTTATTTATAATACCCATGAACTAGAAACCAACAAGCACATCAAGAAAATATATACACAGGTTAACAGTATATTTTTATAATACAATTCAGCAATGAAAAGCAACTGTGGAAAGATACAATAAATTATTCCATTCATATGACAAAACTATCCTATCATGAAAAATATCAGAACAACACTTGTCTGCCAGGTGAGAAAACAACTGGAATAGGACATGGAAAATTTTTCTGGAAAATCCTACTTTTCTTTAAGTATTTAAGTAACTCTGATACAGAGAAGTCGTCTTGATTTCCAAGACGGCTTTCTGAACACAATATTTCTCATTCCTTTTAAATTTGGTATATTCCAAGTAAACAAGACTCAGGAGCTACTTTGTAGGTCAGGCCTAATGCTGACTCCTTTATACACATCTTCAGCTTTATTCTGAGCCTGTGAAAACACTACTTCATTGAAATTTCAGGCTAAATGCTATTCTCCAAAATCCTGTACGAACTCTACTGTACCTTTTGTTTGGTGAAAAGCCCTGTGGTTCCTCTGGTCTGCAACAGCATACTGTACATCTCACTTTATCAAGCTATAGGTTTATCCCTGGTGGTATTAGGCTGAATGGGCTAGGGCAAGACAAGTAAGGCAAATGGTATAAGTCAATCAGTTGGTGAATCTGTTTGAAGGATATGGCGTAAGGAACTTCTTCTCTATGTATATGAAATTATAACAAAGTTACTTGAAAGGTATTTCTAAGACATTTTATACTTTATACTTTTGATCCTCTGAATTTGAAATAAAAATCTTTTTTTGTTTCTAAGCCTGGTTTCAGGATCATTTTATTTCAAACAAGTCCCCAAAACAAAACTTGAGCAAAAAATTAAGTATTCACGTATTTTTGTGTTGGATTTTACATTTTTTAGATGTTTCCCTTAAGTATATAAATTTTTAGACTTCCTATGTAGAATGAAGAAAACAGATGGCCAAAATCTTAACAACAGCCTTGTTTTGAAGAAATAAAAGTATCAAACTGAGGCAGGCATGGTAGCACAGCAGGTTAAGCTGCTGCTTAGGAAGTCCGCATCCTAAATCTGAGTGCCTAGGATCAAATCCCAATAGGCACCCTGGGAGGCATGAAGTGAGGTTCAAGGATTTGGATCCCTGCCACCCACCTAGGAGACCCAGATGGAGTTCTTTCCTCCTGGCTTTGGCCTGGCCCCAGCAGCGCTGTTGCAGGCATTTGGGGAGTGAATCAGGGGGTAGAAGATCCCACTCTCTCTGCCTTTCAAATAAATAAAAATACTTAAAAAAAAAAAAAAAAAAAACGACCTCTAAGGAACTTATTTAAAAAAAGAAGGGAGGAAGAAATACTATCAAACAGTTCCCTTCTTTGGGAAATAATTAACAATTCAATGAAGCTCCTGGAAGCCACTAACAAAGAGGTATTTTGAGTCTATTCCATAGCTTACCTCTACTTGGCCAGGGTTACTCAGTTTGATATTCTTCCCTTCAGTAGGTAGAGCCTGAAACCCCTTCTATTTGACAGCTTAGTGCTTGCTAGCTTGCTTCTACCAGAAAAACTGGTAGAAATGATGATGTGCTGACTATGTCATAAAAGGCACTGTGACTTCCTCTTTGCTATCATGGATCATATACTCTGGAGGAAACTAGTTGCTTATCATTAAGATTCTGAGGACGTTCCATGGAGAGGTATGCTTGGTAAGAGAGACATTTGAGAAGATAATCCTCTAACCCCAATCAAGCTTTCCTCTGTCTGCAGCCTGGCTACATACAGTGTGACTGCAATTTCATGGAAGACCCTAAGTTAGAACATAGCTGAGCGGATGCCAAATTTGTGAGCCACAGAAACTATCAGGTGACAAATATTTTTTGTTTCAAACCTCCACCTTTTGAAGTGATATTTTTACAAAGCAGCAGATAACTAACACAGCAAAGTAACCTAAATTCTCTCTCACTTCAGCTGGTAGCCACATTTGAATAAATAAAGAGGTCCTGTCCATTCAAAAATCTCCTTAAGCTCTTAATCATATTGACAAAAACAAAGCTGAAATAAAAGGTGATACTGAATAAATACAAAACACACTAGAATGAGAACACTTAAGAAAAGTGATTTAATCTAGTATATTCTTGCTAAAGGAATGCTGTGATTTAAAACAATCAGAAAGGTTCACATTAATTCTGTGCAAAGTAGTAATTACTTGATGTATTCTAAATTTTCTTCAAAACTCAGATGTTTAAATTTGGCTGTTTTACATATTACATATTTATATTACATATTACAGCTTAATTTCTTTTTATGATGTCATTGCATGGTAAAACATGACACACTGTATTTTATTTACTAAACATGCCAGAAGCAGCCTGGATTGCATATTGTATTGAGGAATAAAATTAGTCTAAAAATTATCTTTCAGACAAGTGACAAAAAATTGAATATGAAATAGTTGAAAGTATTGTATCTACACTATGTTTCTTGAACTTAACATTTGCACTCTGGATATTTAAGAGAGTATTTTTATTCTTAGGAAATGCAGATAGAAAAGGGACAGGGGACAGGAAGTATGCAGGCTGCTCTCACATGGGCAAGGAAAGGAAAATCATACACAAATGCATAACCTTACAGAATGAAAAAGAGAACATGCCAAAACATTAAAAAGTAATTAAACTGGTAAAGGGTACATGGAGTTCTTTGTATATCTCTTCCAATTTTTTTGCAACTTTAGAATTACTTCAAAAACTTTAAACAGTTTAAAACTAATTGAATTAAAAGTAAAACAACATAGATTCCAAAAAATTCAAGATCAACACTAAGTAATTGAGGCTGGTTTTGTGGCACAGCTAGTTAAGCCAGTGCTTGCAATGCTGGAATTTTATATGAGAGTGCTAGTTGAGTCCTGGCTGCTCGACTTCTGATCCAGTTTCCTGTTAACGCTCCTGGGAAGGCAGTAGATGATGGTCCAACTACTTGGGCCTCTTCTACCTGCATTGGGAGACCCAGGATACAGTTCCGCGTTCCTGGCTCCCGTCTTCAGCCTGTTCCAGCCCTGGCTGTTGGAGCCATTTGAGGAGTGAATCACTGTGGATGAAAGATCTCTCTCTTACTCTGCCTTCCAAATAAATAATAAATCTTTAAAAAAATTTTTTTCATAAATCAATTATTTATACTCTAGGAAGTAATACATATATATCTTAAAAAGTATATAAAGTCACAAGATAATCCTGGATACTTTTAACTATGAATTATTTAAAAAAAAAAAAAGTAGCACAGCACAGTAAAAGGGTATCAGGGTATAGGAAATCAGTGTGACATAACCACAGTGCTAACTGCCATCTAGGAGCCATCCTTAGCTCTATGATAGATAAAAAAGTCATTAAGGTAACTTACCATTTAAAAAAAAAAAATCCTTATTTGAGAGTTAGAGAGAACTCTCATGCACTGGCTTGCTCCTCAAATGCTCATAACAGCTGAGACTAGGCCAGGGCTAAACCTAGATCCCCCATGTGGGTAGCAGGGACTCACCTACTTAATGCATGATTTGCCGCCACCTCTTTGGATGTACCTTAGAAGCAAGCTGGGATGGGAAGTATAGTCAGGACTCAAACCTAGGTGCTCTGATACAGAATCCAGTGTCTCAGGCAGTATTTTTTTTTTTTTTTACAGGCAGAGTTAGTGAGAAAGAGAGACAGAGAGAAGAGAGAAAGGTCTTCCTTCCGTTGGTTCACCCCTCAAATGGCCACCATGGCCAGCGCGCTGTGCCGATCCAAAGCCAGGAGCCAGGTGCTTCCTCCTGGTCTCCCATGCGGGTGCAGGGCCCAAGCACTTGGGCCATCCTCCACTGCCTTCCAGGGCCACAGCAGGGAGCTGGACTGGAAGAGGAGCAACCGGGACAGGACCAGCGCCCCAACCTGGACTAGAACCCGGGGTGCTGGCGCCACAGGCGAAGGATTAGCCTAGTGAGCTGTGGCGCCAGCCCCCAGGCAGTATCTTTAACCACTAGGCCAAACACTCACCACACCTTTTCACTCTTACCAGCTATTTTTATCTGATGCCTAGAATATCCCTTATCTCATACCTCACATGTCTCTTGAAATATTAGTATTCCTGATCAATTCAAGGTGCATTCTGTTTAGCCATGGGCCACCTTTGTCAGTAAAATCCTTTTTCTCCTGCCTTGAGGTATGGGAATCTGTTGTCCTGCAGTCACCACAGACCATGTTTCTTTTTGCCTGAGGCCACACTTCTGTCCATAAATCTAACAAACTACATTCTTCATGAAATTGGATTTATTCCATTTTTAGACTCTTGGCTCCTCCTGCTTTTGCAGCCAGTCCTTACACACCGGATTTTCTCAAAACACAAGGACTGAAATTCAAGCTTTGCTACATGTTCTCTATGTTCTTTGCTGAGACCTCACTTAGTCTCAATTTTATCATTTCTCAAGCTAAAATAACAGTCAATTGTAGGCTGTTGTAAGAATTGCAAATAACATGTAAAATGCCTAGCTGAGGACTTGGCATACTTTGTTAATCACTGATAGTCACTCCTTCATTACTAAAACGAATTTAGGAATAAGGATAGTACATCTTAACTGGGTTTTTCAAGAATGAAAGACTGAATAACATGAAAATTAATTAACATAATATATCATATATAAACAGAATAAAGATGAAAAACCATATGATCATCTCAATAGAGAGACAAAGTATTTGACAAAATTCATCAATCCTCAGGGGCTGACATGGAGTAGCCACCACTTGTGATATCAGGAGTGTGGATGGAATCCCAGCTACTCTGCTTCTGATCTACCTTCCTCCTAATATGCCTGGGAAGGCAGTGGAAGTTGGTCCAAGTGCCTGGGCCCCTGCACCGATGGTGGAAGACCAGAATGAAATTCTTAGCTCCTGGCTCCTGGCTTTAGCCTGGCCCAGACGTGGTTACTGCAGCCATTTGGAAGATGGAAAATCTCTTTCACTCTGTCCTTTCCCTCTCTCCTTGAGGCTCTGCCTTTCAAATAAACAAATCTTTAAAAAAAAAAATTATCATAAAAATCTAAAGAAAGTCAAGGAGAGAATTTTTCAACTTAAAGGAAATCTACAAATGTTTACACTATAATCACTTTCTTTCAATACTGTACTGCAGGGCCGGCGCCGTGGCTCACTAGGCTAATCCTCCGCCTTATGGCGCCGGCACACCAGGTTCTAGTCCCGGTCAGGGTGCTGGATTCTGTCCTGGTTGCCCCTCTTCCAGGCCAGCTCTCTGCTGTGGCCAGGGAGTACAGTGGAGGATGGCCCAAGTGCTTGGGCCCTGCACCCCATGGGAGACCAGGAGAAGCACCTGGCTCCTGCCATCGATCGGATCAGCGCGGTGTGCCGCTGCAGCGCGCCAGCTGCGGCGGCCATTGGAGGGTGAACCAACGGCAAAAGGAAGACCTTTCTCTCTGTCTCTCTCTCTCACTGTCCACTCTGCCTGTCCAAAACAAAACAAAACAAAAAAATGTACTGCAAGGCAATCTCAAAATATGCAAAAAGAGCATTTGACAAATGTCAACATCCAATCATGACAAAACTATAAACTATAGACAGAATCAATTTTCTCCGCCTAACAAAAAGAATCTACAAATATTCACTTTAATCATTTAAACACTGTACTTCGAAGAAAAAAAGAAACACAAGCTGTGAAAGAGTAAAACTATTTTCATCCATAGCCATCTAGGTAGAAAATCCTAAAAAATTACTAGAGAAAGTGAATCTAGCATATTCTAAAGAAACAAGTTGATACACAAAAACGAACTACATTTCTGCTCAAAAGAAATTAATAACTATAAAGTAATTAAAGAGTTGTGTATAAAGAAGAAATTCAGTAAAAGGTATGTAAAAAGTCACTGCTGAAAGATATGTAAAAAGTCACACTGCTGAAAAAAGTAAATAAGATCTAAATAAACAAAGAGATAGGAGCCAGCGCTGTGGCATAGTGGGTAAAGCCACAGCCTGCAGTGCCGGCATCCCATATGGGCACCGGTTCTAGTCCTGGCTGCACCACTTCCGATCCAGCTCTCTGTTATGGCCTGGGAAAGCAGTAGAAGATGGCCCAAGTCCTTGGACCCCTGCACTCATGTGGGAAACCCGGAAGAAGCTCCTGGCTCCAGATTAGATCAGCCCAGCTCTGGCCTTTATGGCCATATGAGGAGTGAACCAGCAGATGGAAGACTTAATTTCTCTCCCTCTCTGCCTCTGTGTAACTTTGCCTTTCAAATAAATAAAATAAATATTTTTTTAAAAAAAAACTTCCAAAAATCTTCTAGAAAGAAAATATAGAGAAAACACTCTATGACTTTGGGTTTGAGAGAAATTTCTTATATGACAGATATATCATCATCCATCAAGAAAAAAACTGAGCTAAATGCAAAATTTTAAATCTTCAAATCAAGACACTGTCAAGAAAAGATAAAGACAAGACAGATTGGGAGAAAATATTTGTAAAACATATCTCACAAAGGACTTATATCAATAATATATAAAAATACTTAAAAGCTCAATAAAAAGATATCTCCATAAAATATGGACAAAAGATTTGAAAAAAAAAATGAAAATCACCATAGCTAACAAGTAAATGAGAATATGATCAAAATCACTGGTCATTA